CTTGGTTTCTTCTTGGAAGTCTTTGCTTGGGCACAAGTTTGCTTATATTTTGTGATGGTTCTGCTCTTAGGCCATTCGGAAGATGGGCGAGGGCAATGGGAACGGGAAGGCTCCAGTGCTGGGTTGTGGAATGAGTGTGTTCCAGAAAAAACTACTTGTGGCGCAAAGGCAGGTTGCTTGTGTATGATCCAGCCTTTTATCATCTCTGTTTTTCAGAATCTTGGATCCGGATGTTTTTTCAGGTCTCCGGCGTTTTTTCGGAATCCGGCGGAAAATTTTGCCGGATTGAGGTCCGGCACTTTTTTCCGCCCAAAGGAGGATCCAGGTATAATAGCATAGGATGGCATATATATATATAGGTATCTACCTGGACCCCTGGACCCCTCAAATACGAGTACCAATCGAGGGCCCAGGTTTCCCCAGAAGCAGGCACGACCTCATCCCATCGAACCGTCGTGGTGTGGAACCGGGTGTGTCCAGGGCGGTCCTGAGGTCCAAGGCCCTGAGTGATGCCTTCAACTCGGAGGCCAAAGATCTAGGCTCGGCTAGCACAGACAGGGCTCGGTTGGAGGGTTGGTTCGGTCGGGTGAGAGGAAGAGAAACTGGTTGATTCAATGATTGATGAACTGGCCTGCGCGGCCTGCCCTACACTACTTGTGCCTACTCTTCTTGGGTCTAATGATGCAGCGCTGTGCTGAAAGTTGGACACTTGAGCCATTTTTCAAAACATGTCGAAACTTTCAACATATTATGCAGATTTTGTGCCTGTTCCGAAGCTAGAAAATCCCTCCAAACCATGCAGCTGGTTGTGCTGGTGAGCACTATCTCACAATCATACCAGCTGATCAGCTCACCTCAGTGGCTTGTGCCACAGATACCCAAAGGAAGTGGCAAACACCTGCACCACCTCACCATCAAGTTGATGTTTGCCTCAGCTTTTCTTCGCTTCGCGAAGGGCCGCGATTCTTCCACCTGGCCAGGCTGGGGCGGGCTCCTCCCGTGGCGCTTCCGCAAGGATTGGAAGAAGTCTTTCGATGCGCTCCGAGGCGCGCCTCTGTGCGCTTACTGGTCCGGTTGAAATCGCCTTCGACCGGTAGGGGCAGAAAAGTAGGGTGCAGGTTTGGAGGTGCAGACTGAAGATTTGTCGGTGTACCGTTGATTGATAGCGTTCCCCCAAAAGGCCCTATAGTCTAGTGTTCAGAAACGTCTTACATCTCCAGGTCTGGTGGTTATTCATCAGCAGTTTGATCGGGTTCATGTTTGAAATCCCCAACACTTCATCCATAGGGGCTGGCTGACAGCCAGGTGATGTTCTTCTTGTAGACCTTACAGTAGAGTTTGGATTCTTTAGGAACGATCTCAAACAAATTTGCATAGAACAGATCCTGGAGCTGGAAAACGGCCTACCTTCCAGAGACAAGTTGACCTTTGTTCCAGGGGCTGCATCAACATGCAGGGTGGAACTCCAAAGGCTGGCGCTAAGTAGGACCATGGGTTTATGAGAGGCCTACCTTCCCTTGCCACGACTCGTGATGCCCGAACAACTTCGACCGGCGCATGGCGCGATGTTTCGCATGTTTGTCCTGCGACCTTCCGGAACAGTCTGATACACTCCCCCCCCCCCCCCCCCCCGGAAGCGCTTCCTGGTGTCGTGGACGGGGGTCTGACCCCCCCCGCTGGGTGATCCGGAGTCTTCGGAAGACGAAGATGTCGAAGATGTCTTTGGGTCTTCAGGGCCCATGATGAGTCCGAGTCTTTCTTGAGGTCTTTTTGCTGGTCTTTGGAGGTTCTACCGTTATATGGTTTAACCGTTCCGTTGGATCAGCTGCACCCATCTGACTTTGAGGGAGAATCCCCGAGCTCTTCCAGAGTTCGTTCGGTTCACCGAACTCTTTTTCGACGCAAAACTCACTCGGAAAGGGTGATTCAGTCCGAATGCAACCGAAGGAATTCCCCCTTTGGTCAGGTAAACCGTGAACACCCCATAAAAACACCACACCTCGTTGGTCTCAAGGAGTCTCAATGAACCTACACAAAGCATACGGAACTACTGGAAGAACCGAAGCATGTCTCGTGCATTTGTTTTACGGTGCGGCTTTCCGCGCAGTGCCTATAGCCCTCCAGGCGGTGGTGGAGGGCTGTTTGTGGCGCCGATTTTGTCGGAGCTGATTCTGAACAGAGACTTTGTGGTGCATTTATCGTGGAGCATGTCAAGGACGCTACTAGTAGCTCCTGGCCTTACTACTAGTAACAAGAAGCTACGAACGGAACAAAGGGCATCGCTACGAACGCAGCGATAAGACGCCGTCGAGGTTTGTGCTGTGTGTCGTCCCATGCGGCGAGTTTTGTTCAGAAGACTGGGACACAGGAGAGTATTTTGAGACGTCCAAAAGCTGTAGCAAACATCGTGGTGTCAGATAGTTTATATAACTTATATAACCGTTACTTGGAATGGAAAGGTTCACCCACTGGTCCTAATGGTTTTCGTTGTGAGGTCAAGCCACGAACCAGTAAGGTACCAGGGTTTTCAGAGTTGGGGATGAGCATTTGCCCTTCAGAGGAACCCCATCGACCCAAGGACAACCACCCAATGTAGGTATAGTGGCACGGTTTCCAATACAGTTTTAGTGGAATTTTCTTTTCTGTCTATTTGGGGGTCTGTATAATGTAAATATTTATGCCATACAGTGAGTGTCTGGGAAATGATTCTCTAATCACAAATCCTGACATCCCTGAGCGATCTCCTTATGCAGTACTTTTCGGGACACGGGAAGGGTAGCAGATCTCCGAGGAAGCTCGGTACGCATTGTGGAAAGGCGTGGAAGGTACACATTTTTGTGTGTTTGGATTTGGATCGACCAGTTCGTATATATACCTATATATTAGTGCGATGTCTGACCCTATCAAAGCATGTAGACTTTGTACCCATTTTTTGAAGGACTTTGAGACTCCAGGTAGATAAGATAAGATGGCCGGCCTGACTGGGGAGATTCCAGAAGTTGTAGTGGAGAACGAGTTTGGGCGGGCTGCTGCATGGCAGCCACACAGCTAGTGATCTTCCAGAAGCCACTCGTGGGGTGCCCTGTGGCCATAACTCTGGGAGTGTGAAGGTACTTAGTGTAGAAGGATGAGTTGCAGGCTCAGACAAGTGATGGATATCAGACAAACACCAATATAGTTTACTATAAGTGTGATTTTCTACAGTGTTCGAGATGGCACGCCATCGCTCATTTGCACACATCAGCGGAGCTTTCTGTCGATGTGGATCTGATCGGACACAGAAAGCCGCGTTTGGTTCTCTTCAAATCCTTTTGGGGGATCAGGACAACGTCCAAAGCGAGTAACGTCCAAAGTTATACACTTAATGACTTTCTGCTATTATTTTGGCCAATGCGAGAAGCCTTGGTGTCCAAGCTCGAGAATCAGTCAAAACTCGAGTTTCCATGGCATAGATACCAAGAGAGGTGTTTCACAGCCCTATCCTATCGCACATCCTACAGCCATCGCACATATAGGTCTCCAGTAGTCTAAAAAAGCAAACAAACAAACAAACAAACTCTGTGTGGCGTACAAAAATTCACTTGGGGGATGTGGTCTTCAGGTTCGAATGTCGATAGCTCCAGGTTTGCCGTCACGTCACGCTGATCCTCCGATCAAAGTCATGTGGTGGATGCTTTCGGATATGTTTGTTTTTAACCCAACCACATTGGGTGATTGGACCTTCTGACTCATCACGAAAGCTAGCATCAGCTAGCTGGAGTTGCTCTTGCTTTAGCAAGTCAAGGGCTCGCAGCCTCGAGAATCATGAATCACGTGAAAACTTCACGTGTAGGGGGGAGAAGGCCCCCCCCCCCGCGGGTTCAACTCCCCCCTGGGACGCTTCCGGTACGTGCTATAGTGCTATGTTTAGGTGGCAGGTGAAGTAGGCCACTGTTTGAGTTTGGAAGGGGGGGGCATGAAACATGAAATTTACGCGAGGGTTCAAGGCTTCAATGATGAGCATCACGGGAAGTCAGAAACCAGGCGTATCAGATACACGTGCCTTGAGCTTCCTTCGGCATCTCAGTGCATATGGCTGACACTTCACTCGACAAAGATGCTCAAACAAACATACATAAACCAGGTGTATCTGATACGCCTGGTTTGTGACTTCCCGTGGTGCTCATGATGCTGCGTTGCTTTTCTTTCAGTCCCTCATTACATATACATGACGATCCAACAGCAGATTCAACAAGCTCACATGTTCATGACATCGACATCGATAGAAGAAACCAAACAAATCATGCAAGCAGCTTTGTTTTGCCTCTGGGACACCTCTTGGGCACCTCTTATGGCATCCACACTGGTTCAACTCCTCCATGGAGGTTTTGGGATACGGTGCAACAGATTCAACAAGCTCACAGGTTCGTGAACACATCGGATGCATCGAACAGTGTGGCAAAGTCCAGCCACGCTTCCTTAATTATCGGGGACTTCAATTCTAAGGTTGGCTGTGTCATTGCTGTTTGTGTGTCTTACATGTTCACAACGTTTTACCTCATGAGCATTTGCCTCACTCCGCTTGATGTCCCACCAGTCCGGATGCACCCCTGCTAGCTTTCGTCACCTACCCTCGGCCTCAAGTATTTTTCAGGACTGAACACACCAACCAGAATAGAATTCATGCTTCAGCTGGTGTTCTCAGGATACCTCTCTTCAGATGTCCTGGCCTCATCCAGTGAGTTGTAACCGGGAGCCTCATGGAGCGTCGGCGCCGGCATCGGCATCTGTGTTTTGTTGGTGAACCGATTCATGCACGTGATTGTTGGGTCTCAACATGGACCCCAGTACGTTTGGTGGGACTTGAAGATGAAACCCCTTTAGGTTTCGGGGTACCATCCTTTTCACGAGGAGCTGCATGAGGAGGAGTATGATACAGTAGTTTATTTGCCGTATACAACTCATCCAATGGACGAAGCATCGTTCACAAGTCGGAATACTTTCAACATGATATAAACCTAAATGATGATAGCAAGTCATAGTTACAGACAGCTTCTAGGTATATCTCCTATAGGATCACAGTATTTGATGGGGTCGTGCCTTAAGACCGAGTTGAGTGTTCTGCTTCCACAACACCAGTGACACAGAGCTGCCACTCGTTTCGATCTCACGATGAGAGGCCCGACTGGCCTGGGTGAAACGTTCGTTCCGTGGTGACGAGGTGTGAACGTTCTCTTCTCCAGCTCGCTTTCGACGGGCAGAACACCCCAAAGGCTTAAACCAAAGACTTCTCTGGCTTGGAAAGCTGCTGGCAGATTTGACGTGCGTCGATGTGATTCCAATCATCATAGCCATCATAGCAATTCTTTGAGGGGTATTTCTCAGCAGCAACTGACAGGGTTCAATACAAGTTTCACATACAATTACACATACACACGCACATCACTTGGGGTAGTTGAAAAGGGGTCAACGGTCAACACAGTCCCAGACAGGTCGTGTTTGGGTGTTGAATTTGAAAAAGCATGAAAAAGCAACCTCTTTGTTATTGGGGACCAAAACCTATAGACGCCGTTCGAAAATGGCTTGCTGGTGAAAGCAGCGCAGGTCTAGACTCTAGACATATCCACACCATTTCACACCGGCTATTTTTCTGTTAAGACCAGACAGTCACATAAATGTATTTCCACACTCAATTATGGCTATTTAAGGCGATATTTACCAGACATGCTCAAAAATACTCAATATGGCTACTATCATCTACTATCCTATTGAGTGATCAGTTAATTAAGTGCATTGAACTATGTGGTTCTTCTGTTTCACACTGCCCAGGTCTGGCCCTTCGTCGAAGAGACGGCCAGTCGCTGGGCCGTGCGGGTGGCCCAGGTTCAGGTGGCCTTTGTTTCCCTCCAGTTGCCTCCACCTGTACCATGTTGGGGCCCTAATGGTAAGAAGGGGGTATGTGTTTCATGAGCAAAAGCCAGGGGTGTGTGGACGTCTTCTTTGGTACCCTTTCTCCAGCAACTAGGTCTTCGTTGGGCCCGTCAGCGGTAGAATTCCTCTCGTTGGACTCTTCTACTGACTTTGTAAGTACTGACTGATACAATCGGACAAAGATATAGAAGAAAGCCAACGGACAGATTGACCCGTGTTGGCTCTATCCCAAATGTCCGCCCGATGCAAATTTCGCATCCAAGCAACCCTCACTATAACTAACCCTTTCCAGGGTCCAGAAGCACTGCATAGAGGTCCGACTTCCTCTTTCTATGAAGCATCATGTCGCTTCCGAAGCAGCGTCTCTTTGGAAGTCCGGAGCTTCTGGTGAACCATACACAAACCCATGAGCCGACATGGTCATCGGATCAGGATGGGTGGGTCAGCCTAGGGCAGAGGTGTGCTGTGTGCACGACCGAATTGACCTGTTTTTGTCGGATGCAACTGCTTCCAGAACTATGGTCCATCATCGTGAACTTTGTGCCCTTTTTTTTGAAGGCTTTGAAGGTTTAGGGTGCCGAGTGGGGGGGGACCACCCTGGCTTATCCTGGCCTCTTGGTTTTGTTAATCCGCCTGAGCTTCTGATTTTGTTGGCCGCAGATCTCTTGGCTTGGGCAGAAACCTCTCCCAAATGCTCCATGACGTTATATAAATGATGTTAAAAAGAAACTATATACACCACTAAAATCACTCAAGTGTCTACTACATGGAGCATTTGGGTTTGCTACCTCCGTCATGATCCATCCACTCCCAGATGGCTTATATTCCCCCTAGGGATCCAGTCGTACCTTCTCAGAGGGTACGACTGGACCCTCCTTCCACCTACCTAACAGTGTCTCCAATCAATTTGTGAGAAGGTACGACTGGATCCCTAGGGTTCCGTGTACATCCCCTCTATTTTCAGGCTGCTGACACACCTCGGTAGGAACACACCATCCCAAACTTACCATCCCAAACGCACCCGATGTGGCACGCACGGACGTGGGCCTCCGGAACCTCCAGGAACCCTCGAGTGAAGTGGTTCCAGAATCCGGGCTTCCCCCAATAAGCCGGAACGGAAATTTATGACACCTCCGGAACCCTACGAAGAGGTTGGGTGCAATTGGGATACCTGCTTACCTGAGCTGCCAGGACATGGAACGCATCATCCCAGCACACTTCGATGCGCCCGTCTCCGCGACGGCTGAGGAGCCGACGAACGAGACACGAGAGAGGTGAAGTAGCAAGAGAGGTCAAGTGATCTGAAAAAGGCCTACTACCAGGACCCTCCAAGGGGTGTCCAATGGACTACCCCACACTACCTATAGGCTTCCAGGCAGGGCACCCCTTAGAGGGTCCTACTATTGTACCATATTGTACCTATATGGGCTGGTCTTTTTGGGGTATATGGGATATGACCCGCCCGAACAACAGACAGCTACTTGTAGGGTCCCACTTCCAGGAGTGCATTGAGGGTCCAGGTAGATGGGTTGTGTGGAGCTATTAGACAATCCAAGAGACTTTAAAGTTTTTTTCCCCGGAAGTTAAGTTCTACAGTTCCATTTCATACTGTTGAGACTCTATTAGAGCTATAAGTTGGATTGGTTGAGTTGATTGTTTCGACGAAACAAGAAGAAACACAGAGCTGAACACATGCGTTCACCATCAAACACATGCGTTCAGAGAGCTCCACACACCTCCGGTGGTGACACTTCTCGGATTCCCCGCGGTGGCGCGCCGAGCAGGTTCTGCAGCATGGCGGAAGAATAACAAGGGAGCCATGCGAGTTATATATATCCCTAAGGGTCCAAGACCATCCGAATCGGATGGTCGAACGGAGGTGAGTTCGTACTTCCTGAGAATGCTTGGGGCCTTGCAGGACATCCAATTCGGATGGTCCTGGACCCTTAGGGTATATATACCACCCTACAGAGACATTCTGCGAGGTGAACATGGAATTTGTGCTAAGCCTGTTCTCATCTACCACCCCAGTGGTTTTGGGGGGTCTCCCTCATAAAATACACATCCCGTCCAGGGTGCAAACATCCAAAGATGGGACACCCATGGACACCCATTGACCATATTGGCTGTGGGTCATGGCATCCGCACCTCCAAACCAGGCGAACGGTTGACCTCCCAAGGTCGTCTGTTCTTGGCATTTTCCGGTGGTCCACCAAGGTCTTCCAGTTTTGACGTATAGGCGGCATATCCCTTCATCCAAGAAGCATATCGAACCACACTCTTAGTGTATCACGTCCTGAGATTCTTGTCGATGTTCGCTTCCAGCAGTGTAATGTTTGCTTCTGTCTTCCGGAGGCCAATTTTGAGTAGCCGAGCCTGAATTCGCATGATGTGTTGGAGCTTAGTTGCCCTTCCTTTTGCGACCCAATTCTCCAAGCAGCCTGTGCCCAAGACTGCCAAGACTAATACCATATTCTGTCCGATCCAAGCACGTGGTGATAAGGTCAATTGGCATCAAACCGCCGCACGCCCGACGGGCAGGATTGGCGAGCGGCCTTTGCGCGTGCCTTTGGCGAGCCATCTGGCCTGCCCTTTTCGCAGGTTGCTAGTCCGGGGCCCTTTAAACGACGCTGTTTGGGCATATGTTTTTGTGCTGCTATATATTGAGTTCGAACACGCTGGCACAAACTCACAGAGCATGTTTGTTTTAAAGTTCTGAAAACAAACCTTTGAGATCTTGCACTAAGTCTCTAAGTATCTGTATCTATAATGACCAGAAGAAACCAAGTGACTGAATCAGATACTCAATTTGGCGTTCTGATTCTGTTTCGTTGTGTTTGATCGAAAGACTGCACCGAATCCACATCCACAGGTCACCTTCGATCCATTGGATTCGGGAGAAGCTCCGTTTTTTCTTCCGACCACCGAAGCAGGTCAGTCCGAACCAGGTCGCTTCGGATCTGCTTGACCTTTTGGTGTTCCTTTCCCGAATCCGGTCGAGCTTCAGTCGACTTAAGCGATCTTTGGTTTCTGAGTCGACCAAACCGAACGAAGGAACTTGAACGACTGATGGTCCTGGGATCCTCAAGTGAACAAACTGAGGGTCCTGGTTGATATGTAGACCTGGGCCCTCCAGTTTGCACTGGTACCCTGACCCTGAAACTCATTGGGTAGTATATACTCGACTCGTCGACTACCCATTTTGAGGAGTACATATACCTCGAGGGTCGTATACGGACCGGTGCCGATGTGACACCTGACGGCCCTGGGATGGGACACCGGTCCTGCCAACCAGCTCTGTGGGCTTTGCCACGAACTGTTGGACGGAAAGGCCTTTGAAGCGGTCCAATAGGGAGATCTCCCAGCGAACGCGAAGAAGGGAAACCAACCGGACGATCCTTGGGAATCGGAGATCTCCCCGTTTTTTCCAATGCACACCCATGTAAATTTGACAACCTGAGCACAGGTGTCTAGGTTTCGATCCAGTTTCCGCCAGAAAACGAATCCACGGCGCTTCCAGCGACCTGGTTTGTATTGGAACTATTGTTGGCGCCGGAGCTTCATCCGTTGGTACTTTGTTTTTGGGCTCAAGACCAGTGTCACGGTTTCCCAGAATTGGGAACCATGCAGAAACCATTCATATCATGCAGACACTTGCTTGCACCAAATCGCTCTTTAGTGGTTGGAAGCTTCGAGGCGGAAGCCGCACATCTGGCTCCAAGGGTGACTCCAAGCAGCCCTACAAAGCACACCAGGCGGCACCTACCTCTTCATCCCCTTTGTTCAGCTTGCATAGAGACAACTCACCAACGAGTCCCTGGTGACAGCTTCTTCGATCCTGGAAGTTGTCTATTTTTGGGGCAGATTGGTTGGTTTTGTGCATACCGCATACCCTCATGATCCCTCATGCCTGGGAAGAGACAAAAAAAAAGGCATCTCTGCAGCTGCGCAGCTAGTCTAATCTTCAGAAAATCCTCTAAGATTATGGATCCTTTTGGTATTAGTTTATCAACTTGGATTGCTTGACAATTGGTAAAGGTCGAGTCATTGATTTGCTGATTTGCACTCAGACGGGTCCTTTCCGCGAAAGGAGACATGTGTTCCCAACGAACGGTGTTCGACCCGTTTCCGGACAGGGGGAGTGCGAAGGAACCGGAACGGCGTGCCCGGTGGATGAGGACGATGGCGGATTTGGGAACTGTTTACAGACGTTTTCGGTATGTTAAAGTACTTTCTGCTGGTGGCGGTGTCACCTTTTTTCGAACACCTTCTCTACCTCGAGAAACAGGTGTGGGTCTTTTCATGGCCATGGTTTTGGGTCTGTCATGGTCTGTCCTATTACCAGTACTAGTCAGTAAACAACTACTTTTGAACAAGGCCTTTACTAACCACCATCATCCACCATTACTGCCATTACTGGTAATAGGATAGACCCAAGCCATGGTTTTCCTTTGACTTCAAGGCTGACAGCATCGCATGTTCTAGACAGCACGACCAAGATCTCGACTGTTTGTATCTCTGGACGTGCTGTTTCTGCAGGGCACTGAGATTGGGTCTCCTTTGTGCTCGTTGACTTTAGAAGCCGGAGCAAGGACCCCCGTTTTGTACCCAGTCCTAGACGTCTAGGGGTTCAGAGGATTTAGTTTGGTGTCGGCAAGTGCAGTTCACCAAACCATGGTAGGTTGACATCCCGAACGTAGAGGAATCTGTTCATTTCATACCGGATCCACCTGGCAATCCATCCAGTGGCTTTCACCAGGTTCGCACACTGCAACCGAGGTCGTGGTTCTTGGGTGCACTGCTAGTGTCTTGGAGGATGAGGAACTGAGTCGAATGTCAATGCCAAAACAAGCTCCTGCCTGCCACTCATTGTTTTTGATGTTCTAAGTACTGAAGGAATCAATGGTCACTTAAAAGCCCAAAACACGCTCCCTGCGACCCATTCCACTTGGATGATCAACTGGAAAGCCTCAGACTTGATAGAGAGCATCATGCTTCTTTGGACTGTGGACAGGGTGATTTCGCTCTCCGGATTGCTCAAAGGCACCAACGGTGTTGGGCAGCACCTGCTCTGCAAACCTTTGCGCCCGATGCTGCGGCAATGTTTCTTCTTACAACTGTTCACTTCCAGGCACGAAGCGCGATGGGAAAACGGCTGCTGGCTGCGTTCTGAATGGAAGTGTCGACAAGTGATTCCAGGAGAAATCTGATTCCGGGAGGTCACGGCTGGTAGACAGAGAACATGAAAAACGTTCGAACGTGTTCGAACGTTCGACCATCACTTGGCAGTCCAGTGATGGCGATGAACGTTCGACCTCTAAGGTCGTCTGCCTTGTGGAAGCTTGGGGAACGTTCGAAGACGTTCGAAGACGTTCATGTCTATGTTCCGTTCGAACCTGGTTCTGACCTCTATTTTGCACCACCAACCACCCAAAATATGGTCCAACTTCCTATCAAAACAGAGGTCATTTGAGTCGCATGGGTTCCAGGTTGATGATGTTACTTGGGCCTTTTTACGTTAGCCTTCGCCCATGAGAGCGCTTCTGGACCACGCGGGGGTGGATGATTGGGGGCTGTGCTACTGCAGGTCCTATATGTGATATTTGATAGGAGACCTGGACCTGTGCTATTGTAGTAGGACCTATATAGGAGACCCCAAAGACCTGGGTGTTCCCAAAAGTTCCCAACAAAAAGATCTTGCAGAGGTCGTTTGATATCATGTCTCATCCTCGTCTCATCATGTCTCATCCTCTTACGGACCAATTTCTCTGGAAAACGCCGTTTTTCAGCTCTACCAAACCTCCCGGCTCTACCGAACATGCTGCGGCGGACCTGCTGCCCTCCCCAGTGGGTTTGGTGGAGAAAGGGGTGAGGTGGATTGTTCCCATCATTTGACCAGTTCCGGGGCGACACCCTTTCCATGGCAATATGATGGAATTTGTGTTTGTTCCATGTGTTTTTCATGTTCTTACGGCTTTGAACAATCTATAAGCTTCTTGATAGCTGCTTGACTGTTCTCACCACAAAACATGGACCATTTTGTGGTGTTCCTGAAGCCTGCTTCGAGCTGCCCGATCGCGGTTCTGCGACGGACTCACTCGATCGACGTGGGCCATCGCGTTCGATGTCTAAAGTTTGGCCCAGTATGGTCGTTACAGGAGTCTCTCTTCAGGCTCAACATGGCTCAACTCCATTTACCCTCTAGCGGTGTTAGAGGGTTCCAACATCACCCCTCACTAAATGGATATGGAGTGGGACCGGATGGTAGTGGATGTTCCAACCAAAATTGACATACAACCCAACGAGTTGAGTACTATCTGTACATTCTATCACATGGACATCAATCTTTGGGTGATCCTTGAATTGGTGCAAGAAACCCATGGACCATTTCACAACATTTCACGACTTATATTGCATGAGTGCCTACCCAGTCAGTAGATAACCTTTACCCAGTCCTTTCCAGGCTTCGAAATGATCGAAAACAGCTGAGGGAGGGAGTTGCAGCTACGGTGACCCCAGCGACCCCAGCTCGGTGACTGTGGTCTTCACCGACCTGTCAGCTAACGGTGCAGGTCTTCAACTCTTTGCGCCTGGCCAATACCAGGGTTTGCAGGCCAGGACAGCGCGGTCGCCGCTGGCCAAGCCGCTTTGAGGTCGGAGTGGTCGGAGCTGATCTCCACCAAGAAAAGGTCAAGTGACCTGATAATCAGACCCGTCCACCTGGGGTACCCAACTGGGATAGTCATGGATAGTTTATGGGATTCTTTAACCTTTGGTAGACCAGATTAATCTAGGGTCCAGGCGCGCAAGAACATGCTCAAAGCTTGCGCTTGGTTTGTGGTCTGAAGAGGTTTCCAAGGACAGCGGTTGCTGCTAAGTGCGAAAAGGTTGAGTGCAGCTGAAAAAGCATGCTTCTTGAGCATTAATTGATATGACACACATGTTCAGGAATAAAGACTAGACACGGTGATGCATGCAAAGCACAGTCCAATCTTTTTAGCGATTCTGGCTTGTGGTTCATTCGTCCTTGCATTTTTCTTTTCCATCACCATCCACCAGACCACGACAGGCCAACTATTTGTCCTTCGCCACGCTGCTCCTGGGGCTGAAGGGCACGACGGCTTACGTAACACACACGGGGAAGATGGAGATCCCCGGGCGAACGGGCTCCTGCTACGTCAGTTGGGATCCCCAACACCCCCCCCAAAAAAAATGCCACTTTGTTCCTGGCAGGATGTCCGAGATAGGTCGAAGGGAAGTCGCTCGCCACCATCTATGCAGAGGCCGCTATCTTTTGGTGGACTGCATGTTTTTTCTCTATGCGTTTCACAGACAGTTTGTTGTTCTTTGGACCAAGAATGGGCAAAACAACATAAAGTCACCACATTCTCAGTGCTTCATACAATCTTCACGAAGGGGGTTGATCACAGGCCTTGTTCCACAAGTGCCATTGGGGATTGCCAGACAGTTTAGGAAGTAGCCTTTTGGGGGAATAGGTACACCCCGAAACCATCCCATGCTTGGGTAAAATGAAACGTTGGTTTTGTCACCCTGCGTCCTCGAGGATCTTTTTTGACCTCTATATTTCCCAAGCGATGGCCTGAAACCTAACAGCAATGGCCTCCAACCTAATAGCAACGGCCTCGCTTCATATTTCCCAATGTTCCCAAGATGTCCAGCCTCTCATAACACAAAAGGCCAGCACTGCAAAAGCCGCCCCTAGGACCTCGTCGCCCAACTTCCTCAGTCGAGCAGAGGAGTTTGAGGCACGACGGTGGGGGGGTGTTACCTGCAAGTGTTGAATGATGTTGAATGTGTTCAAGGAGCTTCTGGTCAAGTTTACAAGGGGCCCTTTGAAACTATCAATCAAGCGCAGGGAGGTGTAGCACCCTGCCACAAGTGTCTCGAAGGCAGGACACCCGTCTTCATGAATTGGACCACCCAGCAACTGTCACGACTGTTCTCGCACTTGGCCTGCCCAATGAGTTTACACTCCGAGGAAAACGACCATGGAAGTGGAGAAGTTGTCCTTTCCCAGACATTCCATACATGCCATATATGCCTACATGAGGGTGGTTTGGGGGGTCAATGTAGGCATGTATGGCATCCATGGAGTGTTTGGGTTTGTCCATAAAGGACAGTCATCCAAGGCTCTATGTTTTTATAGCACGTCGATGTGCTCGTCATGGTACCTCACCATGTGCACCATTTCTTCATGGGCCCTCGCCCTTGTTCGGCACCCGGGCACCCTGGTGTCAATGTTTCCCCCGCAGGGCGGAACCGGTCGCATTCCGCACTGTGGAGGCTTCCGGAGGCCATGCTACACCCGATGGACACAGCCGAGCGGAGCCGATGGACCCTTAAGCAGCTGAGGATCCAGTTCTTCAGCATGTGAGAACTGGATTCCCCATGTGTCGCAGTGGATAAAAATGGATAGACCCACAACCAACCATCAAGTTGGCTCATCAAGTATCTCGCTCATATTTGGAAATATGTGGTATGAAAGGCAGGACATGGTTTCTTAGGCTCTCGGCTGTCCCACTGCCACTGGCTTTCCCCAGAAATCCCAAGAAGCCCAAGAACTCCCGAAAGAAACACACCCAAGCACTGAAGAAAGCCAACGGAGCCACGCCATCACCCCCCCTCCCCTCCAGCCGCACGGAGCCAGGCCTGCACGGGAGGCTCGATTGTCTTCGCAGAGGCGCAGAACATCTGGGAGGATCCCATCAAAGACATGGGGACCAAGGCGAGGGCGGCGAGGAGGCCGTTCTTCTGGGTTTCCAAGTCGAGCCGTTTTTTGTGTGTGCGACGGCGAAGCGATGGCGACGCGTTTTTTGGATGTTTTTGGGCTGGCCGGGCGTTGGGCGTTTGGGCCAATGAATGCCAATGACTGAGGTGTGTTTGTTCATGTTTCATTGGTTTTTTGAAGTGGGGTGCGGTGGGTGGTTCAAACTTGGTTCATGTAGTTTGCGGGGGCCACACATGCATGGTGACAAATTGGTACGCAGACGCAGCACCATGGTCTCCGAACGAAGACGAACAAAGACACCATCAAGTCGGTACGCTGCCGGGCAAAGTTTTATCATGCCACAGAATGATACACCCCCTAAGGGTCCAGGACCATCCTGAGGATGGTTTTGGAGGTGAAAGTGCTTCCTGAGAATGGTCTTTGGGGCCTTGCAGGACATCCGATTCGGATGGTCCTGGACCCTTAGGGACCATGATACACCAGAAAGGTCATGTACTGTACAAGACACGGACAACAATGCACCAAAACAAGGTCTTGACATGTCTTGACTCTTTCTCCTCCACAAGGTTCCGCCACAGAAACAGGTGAAACCTGGCCCGGCTTACGGTGGTGGGAGATGGCGGATCCAACTACCTCCGCTTCGAAGGTGGTTGGAGTGGGTGCCGGGGGTCTAACCACCTTCGGATATGGGACAGGAGCCCTGGGCCCTATAGGGACAACTCCGAACTCCGAACTCCTTTGGGTCGCGCAAAAAAAAACGGCCGGAGGAAGCGGTTGTGGAAGTTCCGCATGGCTATATGCTGCCCTGCAGATTAGAACCCTAAAACCACTTGCTTGGTAATCGGATGGCGTGGTCGAAACCACTGGGTCAATTCTCAGGTTCCATTCGGGAGGGGTAGTCTATTGTTTTGTGGTCCAAGCTCCCAATCCCCGAGATGGCCGCACCAAGGACCAAAGGGCTGTGCTCTGGACCAGGGGGACCATCAGGGCCGGACCTTGGCCGAAAGTTCCAGGGCCAATTTAATGAGGACTTAGGCCTCCAAACCTCCAACAAAGGTTCTTCACAGCCCAAATATCGCCCATCCCACATCACCCAAAAGGGTCCTGGTCCTAGTTCAAATCTCAGAAAGAAGCTCTCAAACTCTCTGGGCTGGAACAGGAACAGAGAGGCAATGACATCTATCACGCCTACTTCATGAGCTATTCACATTTTCCAGTCGCTCCGCTGCAGAGATGTTGGGATTTCTCAGCGGCTCAGCGGCGAAGAACTCGATGTGAGTCTATGAAGATGATATGAATCGAATTCTCCGCAAACCAACTGGTCTCCCACATGTGGCGTTTGGCTTGCCATCACTGGAAGAGTCTCCTGGCCCTACAGGTCCAGTCTGACCCAGGGTCAGCGTGGTCCTTCAGCTCATTGAGTAGTGCTTTTGTTTGATCAACTCTGATAAGATGAGGTCTTTGACCCCTTGATTTGTTCATTGTTGTGGCTCCTTAAGCAGCTCATTCCTGGCAGGGCAGCACTCTTATGTTATGATATGAAGGTATGGCAGCTAGATGTTCGGTTGGTCTACGGTCGTTAGCCTGACAATGCAGGTAATTGGTGGTGAGCGCCATGTGTGCTATGGTCAGGGATGGTCATCAATCTCTGAACAGTCTTCATAGGACCTCTGTCCAATTCCGACCATTGATCAGTCCGACATGCAGGTGTGTTTTGTTTTGCCATGACAGTCGGTGTTTGTGTCGATGTGAAGCCAAAGGAGCCATGGACTCTTGCCATTGACCATGAACTTCCACACCAGTGCAGTGAGTCATCGAACTGGGCATTGGTTTCACCACCAAATAGGTTTTATCTGAGGGAGAAGGGCCGACATGAGCCACGATCAAAGCAAGCGTGTCATGGCAAAAACAATCACTGCAACAAGGCGTTTGAGCAGGCTCCTGGCTCATTTCCCCGCTTCTCACTATCCGACCGGTGTTCGACATAGGCACCCACCCCAACCGGCTAGCCCACCATCCACCGTAGGATCCAAGGGTCCACAGGAGTTGGAAAGAACGGTGTCCCAGACACGACTGGGACTGCCAGGACGGACTGCCGAGAAACGGCCAGGGGTGGTGCCAGAGGGGTCTGTCTGGGGCGGCAGTCCGTCCTGGCAGTCCCATGGGTCGTGTCTGGGTGTGATGAATCGATCGCGGATCGCGATGATGTGAGACGATGTGAACGAAGCTACCCAGACACCACCTATCTGGGACTGGAAAGATGCCGCCCCCCATAGGACCCCCGATCTTCAAGCGCTGTAGTTCAGCAGTCTATATATGGCAGTTTACTAATATGGCAGTCCCAAACAGGTCGTGTTTGGAATGATTCGCGTATCCCCCCCCCAAATGCACCAGTTCCACCACGAGCGTGGCAATTCGATCGGTGGTGTCTGGATTATGGTGTTTGGACCTGGATTGCATGTGTCAATGACTTTGGGGTGAGTCATTGGGTCCATGTATCTTCATGTACAGTGGATTGAGAGTAGATGGCCCCTAAGAGGTGGTTTATATGAACCCAAAGGTAAAGAACGTCTTGAGGTCTGTGCCATCTACAATGTATCTTCATGTATCCCTTTCGTTGTTAAAAACATCCTCATCCACAAACTGTGCCAGTGACTGTCAGGGAATCAATGCACATGTATAACAGACGTTGTTGAGACTCTGTGGACTCCCCCAAAGAAGCCAAGTAGATGGATAGACCGTTGGATGTGGCAAACATGCCCAGCTGCAGAACAGGTTCCAGGCGACCGCCACTATGTCGTTCAAATGCCCAACAGCTGCATTGATAGTGGATTGAGAGGACCAATGGCACGAGTGACCCCAAGCTTGGTGGTTGATATGGACCCCCATTTCTCTAAGACATCTGGGTGCTGCCATCGATCCTCTAAAACCGCCTGTCGGACAGAGCTGGGAGTCGAACCCACTCATCACTGGAACAGCACGCCATGCGACCCAGTCGGACCCTGAAAGGTCATCGGTGGACTTGCAGATTTGCCCAAGTTCACGGGGTCGTGACGGTCATGGGGTGCTGAGAATTTCTAGGCGTCTTTCTGGGCGGAGCATGAATTCCAGTCCCAGACATCGTGGTTTTTGGATAGAATGGCGCCCTTTCGGTGTTTCACGGCCCTAGATGGGAAACGTAGGTATATGTAGGTATATCTGTCCCAGACACGACCCATGGGACTGCCATAGGACTGCCGCCCCGTTGACCCCTCTGGCACCACCCCTGGCCTGATCGGCAGTCCTATGGCAGTCCCATTAGTCGTGTCTGGGTGTTGCATGTGTTCACGTCTTCGCTCTCTGAGGAAGCCAGTGCGTTGGGGCTCGCGGAGAGCTTAGAGGATCGCCTGGCGGCCTCCAACGCGGAACTCAAGTGGGAGACCACCTTCCCCAAGGCGCCTCCCGGTGGAGAGCAGATGGCGTGTTTCTTGTTGCCCATGGCGTGTTGGGGGTTCACCACTTCCAGTCACGCCGCGTGCTTCGCCGCGTGCTTCACGACTGTCGGGGGTGCCATGGTCTAAGACAAATCGAACTGCCGAGTGATCAGTGACTCTCTTGGGTGTCGACTGTCGACCTTTCCGCTTTGAGAGATAGAGAGACGACCGAGCCCGTAAACCAAACGGCCTTGCATCGATGACGGAGAGAGGACGATGGCGGAGAGAGGGGTGTTTCAAGGTGGAATGAGGCTGATCAGACGATGCAAATTCTTCTCAGTCAGTATATATGTGTTTAGTATATTAAATCATTTTAACCGACCTTTGTAATGGTCCCCAAGTAGATAAGACACATAGTTTGAGTAGGGATCTATACTGTTCTATCTATTTGGGGTCTCTAAATTCCTTTTTGGAGGGATTGGCCTCTCCACTCAACATGAAGATCTTCCGCGGCGTTCCTCGCGGGATGTGGCACTGTCTCTCGCCTAAACTCCGATGGCTCGGCTCAAGGGCTCCATAGGATTCTCATTCCGAATCAGAAGACCTCTACCTGGGATCCTACCTGGGATGATAGGTAGAAGATGGATCCATAGGATCCGATCGTCATGTTTTTGTTGTAAGACCTCTACCTGGGATCCTCCGAAGGCTTTGTGAGGTTGAAGCATTCGAGGACATGCTTTCTGAAAAATTCAAGCGCAGAGTTTGTTCTTCTGCATGTTGTGCTGCGAAGACCCAACCGAACACCCAGAGCTTTTATCACAACATGACCGGGGCAAGTCAAACGATTCGTGTGACTTGAACACCTTTTGACTTCAAGTGGTTCTTGCGTTTCTTCTTGCGTTTGTAGCGGAAGAAAAGCACCTGTGGGGTGGACTCCGTCCGTGATAAAATTGGTGTGTTTTGACTGAGAACTCGCCATGTGTTGCATGACCGGGGTGGCAGCAGCCGATCCTGCAGTTACAGCTACTGTATTCATGAGACTTGACAGTATAAAGCAACTGCAATAAAGATCGATCTCTACCCCAGGACTTCAACTAGTCTAACCACCTTCTGAGGATATGGTTGGAGCCCTAGGGTTAATTCAGTTGAGCAAATCTGCCATGGATGAACAGGTGAGGGCAACACTTGTTTCTTTTTGGTCTAGCTGCCAGGCATTGGGCAGATTTGAGTGGACTACCCACAAAAACCAGCCAGTATTGCACTGACAGCTTATAGCATAGGCCCACAACCCACCGAATGGATGAACCAGCACGGCACTGAGGATACTAGATATGTGCTTGACGGTATCATGAATGTGCCTTCTCCAGGGGAACCATCACAATTCGGAAACGTGTTTTTCCTTTTGTCCATACATAGCTCACACTTGTATGGTATAGGGCAAAGGTTGAGAATGGAGCCCCCCAGGCAACATGTGTATCCCACCATTTCCATGGAAGATTGCTACTCATTCCCATACCACTACCAGTACTGCTACATTTGGCATTCAGCAGGGAAAACTTTGTGACATTGAAGAGGAACATTTGACTTTATCATGCTAAACTTGGGTGTGTCCTTTAATAAGGAGACCCCCTAGCCCAATGGGTTTGGGTCTATGTTTCATCTTCCAGGAGGTCGAACTGGGGGGTCTCTCTGAAAGATTTGGACGATTTGGAGGTTGGTCAAAACGAACCTGGTTCACCAGCAGAGAACAGACTACTAGACATGGTCCAAGCTACCAAGGTGAGTTCCGGGCAACCCGGGTGCCATGATCCACAGCCATTTGGAGGTTGGTCACAGAATTTTGATAGTTGACCCCAGTGCTGCAGAGTTCATTCTGCTGTCGGATTTGTGAGGCAAGTTCCATCAAGATAGACCTTCAGAGCAATGTGTTGTTGGTCTCATTGTTGTCCAAAAGTTCAGGACAGTTTGGTAAAAGACCGTCATTGGACGAATGGAATAACCTTGGGCTGTTCCACAGATGTCCAGTTTGTGTTGTTTGCTTTGCACATCTTTGCGCCAGGTTCAGCAAATGGGCAAGTACAGGAGAAGCCTAGACGCTGTCAATGTCGATGTCCATCGGGCCCTTCGTTGGGGTGCTCGGATGACTAACCTTTCGTGACACACGTTCTCCACTTCAATGTGTTGGCGGCTCGTTGGCGCTCACAACTGTATTGTGGCAGATCCTTCGATGTCGTTGCATTTTTGGACGTGCGACCAGGTCGATCTCCAGGTTCATAAACCCTTTATAGTCCATTGCTATAGTCCAGAGAAGCAAAATACAAACAATTTGTAGACTCCTTGGTGAACGATCGCCTTTTCAGGTGAAGAGATGCATGGCAATGTGAGTTCTGCATGGCAATATATTATAACTATTGCAATTCTTCCAATCTTCATCCGCCCTCCCATTGCCCTCGCCCGACTTCCACGAAACACCCAACCGGCGACGTCCGGTCCACCGCTGTCCCGAGCCGCTCCGTTCGGGTCGACGGCGTGTTCGCCCCGACGTTACGTAGCTTCTTGTTACGATTCGGGTCTACGGCCAGGAGCTCCGAACGCTTCAGGCGAAAAGAGGTGCTCAAACGCATCAAACGTCCGGGTGCGAGTTCCAACTCCCTCGCGGTCTTTGCGGACCGTCCACTCCTTGAGCTCCGAGACTTGAATTCAGTGACCTTGAACAATTCGGGCCGCATGGGTTTTCTAAAGCGACCCAAAAATCCGAAAAAGCAAGTTCTGTCACGAACTCTTCAGGTCCTGGTTTTCCTGAATTTCCTTAGTGAATTCCCTTGATCATGGGGAATATGGCCTCGGCCTTGTAGCCATTCCACACGTGCCGCAGGACTGGCTCCAAATCGCAACTGGAGCGCCTTTGGCACTTAGAGAAGCGGACCAATCCTGGGGGTGGACAGGGGGTGGACCCCAATCCAGGGGGTGGACCTTAGCTGTTAAGGGGTGTCCATTAATCACCCCGACTGGGGGTCCTGGAGATTAGCATCGCAATGTTCAGATATGAAGTGATCCCTACAGTGATGTGCTGCGAGACTGCTGCTTTCGAAGTTGGTGAAGCTGACTTCTGGAGGACCTGCGTTCAGAACATCCGCGTTGGGTTTTTCACCTCAAAGACAGAGTTTGTCAGTAGATGTCAGTAGAAATCACATGCAATGTATGCACATGTTTTTCCACCTGATCCCAGGTCAACCACTCCAAGTGGGAATCAGAATCCCATCCGAGTGGTGTTTGTTCACCACCCCTACCCAGACAGATCGGGTTCCCTTATTACAATCCCTTCAGATTGGTATCCTACCTATAGCTTACCCGAGCCAGGGGTGTCCCCAATCCCAATCCCCTACCCAGACAGTAGCTCACCTTTGGGCTTGGGGACACCCCGCTCAACGACACCCCGCTCAACCAACGTTTTCGTGCACTTCGTGCACTCCCCGCGAAAGGCCGCTGGACACTGGGTGAGGTTACAGGAGATTGCAGGAATGATTTGGAGAATGATTTGAAATATATTCCTAGCGCTTCCTGTCTGGGTGTCCTGTTCGGTGACCTATAAGTGTGGGGGTTGTCCAGCCAGGTCACCCCGGATTACAGGCGAAGCAGCTAGTTCATTGGTCCGAATCAACACCATCCCAGGTTCCTGATGTACGACGGGGACTTCTTCGTGCCGGTGATCCGCCTGGATCTGCTGGAGAGAGATGCCTGGATCTGGAGAGACATGCGACAGACGACAGAGTCGGAAGTCCGACCTCCTGTAAGGGGTTGCGGGAATGGAGTGATGTTGATTAAAAGAAGAAAGACCTAAGCGTTTGGACCTTTGGATCCCAATAGATTGGGTTAGACAATTGTTTAACTATATAATGGTCAATAGATGTTAATAGACAAATGTTTTTGTGTTTTTTTCATTATTTTAAACTTAACTTATTTAGTTGATTTATTGGTTTTAAACTAAGAGTCAAACACGATTTGTAAAATATAGTAGCTACATCTTGGCCGTTTGTTGAGAGATTGTGTTTATTGATGAGACATAATGTGATTTTGTTACTTTCTTTGGTGAAATCGTGGTTTAACTTTGAGAGATGTGCTTCTTACTGGTCAGAGGAAGAGTTGGTGAGGCTCAAAGAAAACATTTGCTTTTGCACAATTAGATTTTCTGATTTGCACATCTTCTTAACTGGTGAACTGCATTCTGGAATAATCAAGAGCAGATTGCAGCTTGCACCCAATCTTTTGCACTTGAGCAGCCCCTAGTAGCTTCTTGTTACTAGTACGTAGCGAAGCCCGGGTTCCTAGTAGCTTCTTGCTCCTAGTAGTAAGGCCGGGAGCTTGCGCAACACCACCACCAAGTTCCCACCCCACACCCGTCGTCCTTTTGGTTTTGTCAAAGCATCGCTTGAGCCATGCAGCTTGCGCAAAGGTTGCATCCAGATCCCAGTGTTGGTGTGCGAGATATCCAAAGATTATTCCTGAAGCTCATGGATTAATCTGGGGGCATGATCTTACCCAGCTTTTGATGTTTGTTTTTGAGGATTTTGTTTATGGTTGGGAATGGGCATCCTCAACAAGGAGCTTCTTCAACAGAGCTTCTGAGCTGTTTAACTCTATGTTCACTACATTGCATTTTTGCTAACCATAACCATGCCCATGAATTGGACCCTCGACTCACCTGCAATTTTACAAGCGAAGATCAAATGGGCATATTGAAGGCGTTACGCCAGCACTGTGTTGGCGACATGCCCAACACTTTCAGCTTACCAATGACATGTGCAGAATTTTGTTGTGCAGTCTTGAGGGTTCTTGCTTTTTTGGATTCTACTGTTGAGAGGAGAGGCTGGTGCTGACATGCAAATGTTGTTGCGAGGGTTGCTGTTGAGAGGATGGACAAATTCCTGTATTCTTGTTTGCAAAACAACGAAGTTGACCATGCAAAACCACACATGTGTATAGGCAATTTCAATTTAACTTTAAACTGCCTTTTTAACTTTACACCATTTCAATGTTAACTTCGGGCAACTTCATTTAACCATTGAAATATACTGTTTTCAAAGTCGATTGTTTGTCTTCAAAGTAAAGGCAACAAGATTAACTAGTAGACAGAAATATATCTAAAAACACATCAACTATATCGTGCATTATTATAGGATATTATAGTAAATTTGTCTTTGTCTAACCCAATCTATTGGGATTAGTGTAGAACCATGTAAAACCTCTTCCTGCGAGGTGTGTCATCAGTAACGAGTCTAATTACATGAGGGACAGACCCCCAAACACACGCATGCACGCACAAGAGCGCACCTTTTCACTCAGTGTCGGACTTAAGCACAAAAATGGATGGAGCCCCAAAAGGGGTCTCAATCCAGAAGGAGCGAGTCGTTCCGCACTTGCAGTGGAGTTGCAGTGCAGGAGCTGCAACTTTGGCCAGGGAACTTCCTCCCTGGAGGTTGAGCAAAGATCTGTAGGACCTTGACGGTGAACTACTTGGAGTGGTATCCCGGAATCTCTGGCAGGGCTTCTGACCTTGAGAACAAAACATGTGGTGGCTCAAATACAGTCCTTCCAGATACCACCAAACCGTTTGGGAGTCGACATCCATCTTCATGGACACCACTCACAACGTGTTTTGCTCAAGCAGGTCAGACATCTCCGGTCCCGTCGTGGCCTTCGGGTTGTTCCCGCACCCGGCCGCACCGGCACCGACGCTCATGCCTCCTCGTCCTCCGTCCTCGTTCTCCGCCGTCCTCAGCGCGACAGCGCCGCGCAGCTCACGCCGCTCACGCCCAGGATCAGTTGCCGCTGCCCAACACCTGGCGGGAAGTCTTGGACTTGGCCCACAGAGCCCTGGGCCCATGGCCGTGGGTCCGCGCCGGACGGGTCCAGGGGGGTGGAGAGGCGTAGGGCGTAGATGGATCAGTGGGGAATTCACAGGGGTTCAGGCAGCAATGGCTGCTATTGCTAGACTGTTGTTTTTGTCTCTAAACGAAGCCAATTATAAACGTAGTTTGCGGTTCTTGGAGGTTTGCCAGGACATGAAAACAGGAAGAAGACCAAAAATCATGACTATGAAACTATGACTATGACCTTTACGAGCCTAGCTAGCTTAAGAGGTGCCGGCAGGTTTTGGTTTGCGCAAAAGTGTTGAGGGTTGTGTTTCGATTTGAGATTGAAGCTCTGGGAGAAGTCTGGTTGAAAGAGAAGTGACCACATTTGAATCATGAGGCCTAAAGCCTTTCCCGCACAGTCCAGTTGCCAGAGAAGCCAGCGGTTCCAAAGACAGCGAAGACCCAGGAACCTTGATTCCCTACTCAGCCCTACTCTTTGAGTATTGTGTAGAGCTATTTGGGACATTGAGTTTCTCCCGTTTTTGTCCGGCTTCCAAACTACAACATCCATCGGTGGAGGGCCAAGTGTGAAACAGTTCACATCGTGGCCACAGTCCTGACCCACATGACCCACATTGACAACAGTGATGCTGTGATACACCAAGGTGAGCCTTCCAAAAGGTGATCTCATCTTAAGACAACTGACATGAAATATCAATTCTTATCGATGCTGTTACATTGGAATATCAATTAAGACAACTAACATCATTCTGTTGCCTGCTGGACATGGTCATGTGTTTTCTGGTGTCAACAGCCAATACGTCGCAGGGACCCCACCCGCAATACAAAGAAATCGAACGACCCAATGGCTGAGGATACAATGGCGCCGACCTGAATGAGGACGGGCTCCCCGATTTCGGCATGTGCCACTTCCCGCGCGAAGGTGCCGGCTATTTCGACCCTTTTCAGCAATGAAGTCTTGGAGTTACGATGACGGTCTCCGGACGTATCGGATGTTTCTGTAGTCGACAGTCGAGGTGACAAGGTCCTGGTTTCATTTGGTGTCTATGATTTTCTATGTATTCCAAGAAGCAAGTTTAGTCCCCTTACGTGAGTGGATGTCCTGGGCACCCCTAACCTCCATGGATCGCACCCCTTTGTGACCCCTGGTATATGTTGTTTTTTTGTTTAAGGTATGACATTAATAACAACCAAATGCCTTCACAAGGCTTTGTTGTACCAGGACCCTCCATCGATGTGGGACGTGCTTTGTCCAACGTCTTCTTCGTCCACGAGTCGGGTTATTTGCAACAGATGTCTATCTACTCTAGACTTGAAAAAGATGATGCGATGATGTACACAGAACACAGTTTATAAATAGTACGACATTATATATATTTCAATGCACTATACTGGACATTGAACAGAGCTTGAAAAAACAAAAACAAAAACTCATGTCATTCTGGGCAGCCCAGTGCCCCTCATGCCCAGTGTCATACGTCTATTGAGTCGAACGGTTCAGAGGTCCAAAGGGAGCTTGAAGAGCTATTTGTACCTGGTCAACTTTCATGTACAAATGACATCCTTTGCATTCTTTGATGGCTTTTCGAGTTGACGTATAACAGAAAGCCTGGAAACAGTTCTGATGTACAGGAGACCTACCCATGCAGTTCTGACAGCAGATCGCCTATAGACGTCCTTCTTGGGGACACCCCACGAAGCAAGCACACGAACGGGCCGGGTGAGCTAAGCGAAGGGGATCTCCGGCCTCCCGCATCGGGAGTTGATATCACTAAAAACCGTGGGCTTTGGGCTTTGGGCTTCTGCCCAGAGGCTCATGGACCCTCAGATGGAGGGGTCTAACATGGTCTAACCAATCCCTAAGGTTTTGAAGGACTGGTCGGGCTGTGAACATAGCATCCATATATAGGATTTAGGGCCCTCTAAGCGATGGTTTTCGGTGGATTTGGAGGGCTGTGTTTTTGGGGAGGTGAACTCCCAAAATCGAAGGTCTAGTCTTGGCATGTCTTGGCCAGTTTGAGAGTAGACGGAGCGCTCCAGACTGCTTGATTGGACTCTTAGAGTCTATGACAGTCTATGATTTAGTCTCACGAGGATTGGTGGTGGCCGGAATTGATGTATGCCATTTGGGCGACCTACGCGCAGGTGGAGGTGCGGCAGAGCGGGGAAGTGGAAGAGGTTTGAGTTGTTTGGTTTAGTTGGGACCATAGGCATGAACGCTGGACGCTGGAAACCTGAGCAGAGACGACAGTTTTTGAGGTCCGTTGCATGTGGGTTGTACCAAACATGGAGCCGCACGACCGGTATAGGAGAGGGTCAGGGGTGTTTGGTGGAAGAAGACCGCCCCATGGCAGAGTCCATGCTGAACACCCAAGGATTTGCAAAGCCCACAGCTCTTTCATGAAAGATCACCTGGTGGGATTTGGACATGTCAATACACGTCTACTCACCTGGACACCAATTGTGTGTCCCTTCCTATGTCTATAGCTGTTCATTCCAATGATATCAACAACCTGACACATGGAATGGACGAACGCCCAGAGACGTGAGTGACCATCTAAACACGAAGTGCGTACATGTTTAGTTTGATCTTGTTTGTCATTCATGAGAGTGGAAGAGTTACACTTCATTCTTGTAAATTGGAACCTTTTTGCCCAAAAGTGTGTATACTAATCATAACCTCAAACCACTATGTTCTACCTGCCAGGTTAGCATAAGTGATTGACAGGGGTGCTAGATACTAACATGGAAGGTGCCCGATTCTGGCTGTCTACAAGAATCACACTAACGTCAAAGGTAAAAGATCATGTCAACCAGCCTGTAGACATGTAGCTACTGTGTCCTTCCCCAACAGTGTTCAACTAACAGGGAACCCGTGGATGGGTTGCTGCTCCTTCAAGTTTTAACTAACATAGCGTACGTATCAGAATACCGATCCTGAAGTTTCACTAACATGGAAGGTCAAAGATTTTTCTTGATGCTCAGCTGCCTGAGCAAAATAGTGGAGAGTAAGTTACATGCAGTACATACATTTACCTCATTTATGACCCATCCATGCAGTCCCATGGAGTGTTTGGGATATTCTTCCCGCCAAGCCATCCGCTGGGACTGATTCAGAGTTGGGTGGCTCCTTTGGGGCAAGTTCTTAGAGTGCGCTTATGGCTCCAGTCGTAGCTCCTCAGGTTCGGTATGAGTGGGCCCTCCTGGCACATTGGGCCCTTGGTAGAGACATTAGTGAGTCATCGGTGTCACCATTAACCTCAGATTCAACTGACGACTGGCAGACCACTGGACCTCTTGGAATGGAGGGTAGCTAGTGTCAGACCCTGCATGAATTCGTTGTGCCAACTGCCTGCAAACCTGGTTTCGAGAATGATCTCCCTTCCACGCTCCAATAGGTGTTTCCTGGTCACAACGATAAGAAACCACCTGTTTGGGTTCAACCACCACCAGTTGGAAGCTCCTGGCTTCATGGTGTTTTTTCTGTTGAACACCTGTTGTTTACGCCCACCCGTGACGGTGTCAGCCACCATCCTTCTCACCGCTGAAACAGCCAGTCGCGGCAGGACACCAGTCAAGGCTTCCTCTTCGATCCTAAAACCTTGGAGCCGAAGCTGAAGGGTCCAGCCTTCCAGGAGGGGCAGCGCAGCACTCGTTCCGCAGCGCTCAGCAATTTCCACTTCCCGCCTTCCAAGTCACGAGCTGCCGGACAAATCTGGCGCACGAAAGAACAAGGGTATTGCTGGGACTGGCTCGTATTTGTATAGAACTCACGGACGATTAATGGATACATTGTTCGATATTCTTGGGGAGGTGTTTTCTTTTTCGCCTGCACAGGCTGCCATTGATTTCATGAAGGAGATGTGGCAGGTGGGGTGTGCGCGCGAGCGTAGAGAGTCAGGCCTGAAGACCTGAATGCATCAGCTGGGGAGTTGATCATTTGGAACTTGGGATTGGTTGATGTCGTGGGGATGAGGATTGCTTAAGCTTTGGCACCGCAATGCTGATTCACAAAAGCCACTTCCGGGGCCAAAGGCGGCCTTTGAGGGCGCTTTGTATCGAATCCAGTTGGGAAGATCTCGACGCAAGAGGAGTTGACCAAGATTGACCAAAAGGAACTTGCTCCTGTGAACCCCCCACCTAGCAGGTTGGTGAGCTGGTGACAAAAGGAAGTGAAAGTCAGTGACCAATCAGAGTGATGCATGAAATTCCAGGGATCATCCACAAAAAGCACTTCCTGAGCTTCTCTTCAGCTGAATCAATCAATCCTCCACGTCGGTCGCCTGCACCGCGGTGTCCGCCGCCGGCGGTTTCCGCAGCTTGCTGCTCGGACCAGGACGGATCTGAAGGATGCATCAGCGCCGCTGGCCGGAAGATGGAGATGCTGTCGGTGCGCGTCCGGAATTGCCCCTGCTCAATGACTTTCCCTGACACAACCTGTCTGGGACTGCTATATTCGCCGAGAAAAACACTTCCAGGGGTGGTTGATTTGAGGCGGTTTTGTGGCGTTGTCTCTTCTTTTTTTCTCCAGTCCGACGGAGTCCCAGACGGGTCGTGTTTGGGTTTCAGGTGAACATTGGTCAAAGCACAAGGACCGATGCTGATGCTCGAAAGATCACGCAAATTTAGCCCAGCTCATCACGGTACCTTAGATCGATGAGATGATTGAAGTGACCTTTCCACACCAGTGTGGGTTTTTCTTTTGACCCTCACTCACTAATCATACTGCATACTATTCAACATATGAGGTGTTTGGGAGAAGACCTCCAGGCAAGTCTTGATCTTCGCAGCTTAGAACATTCTGGTCCTGGATGTTCTGGATCTTCGCAGGTTAGACCACACGGCCAGAGGGGGCAAGACGGGTTAGACCACACGGCCAGGGGTGCAAGACGTTCATTCATTCTCGGCGCCCTTCGGTTTTTTCCGCGTATTTCCGCGTAACGAGAGTTCCCAGCGGAGAATAGGCGGGATTGGAATGGCTGAGGATTCCTTCAGCACAGGACGGGATTTTTCGAGGGGAGAGGCGTTCTGGAGAGAGGCGTTCAGCGTCTTGAGTCTTCGGGGTTCCAGGTTCCTGCACGCAGTTCCTGCATGTTCCTGCTATAGACTTAGAGAAACTCGTGGCTGAAAGGCATGGGAACTTGTGCTCTCATCATTGGCAACATATTACGACCCCGACTTGCTCATAGAAGGCCAATGCCTGGCTCAGAAAATGTGCATCCAAAAGACCCAGAGACAGCATTGTTTCACATACATGTTAATAGTATATACATGTATATACATCTAGTCGACTCACATCGTCAAAGAGAGAAGTTCGGCGACCCTGACTTCTCCGCCTGACCGGTCTCCAGAACCGATGGGTCCAGCACCGGTCCGCCGGGTCCAGGACGCTGTGCGATCGGCTTCTCTCCACCCGGTTGCTGGAAAGGTGGGGACGTCACTACTGTGACGACGACACCCTGGGAGGATCGACCGATGTCTTGAGATTTTCTACGAATCCAGAGAGGACCTCTGTTTTGAGAGGAAGTTGGACCATATATTTCAGGTGGTTACGTGGTCCAAAATAGAGGTCACAACCAGGTTCTAGGTATAAATATTAAACAATGATCATCCAGGTTTGGAGTCTGTGAGTGGATGTGGACACCTATCTTCCAAGTTCGGTAGCCCGAGCGACATGTGACTGGATACATCATCAATTCTGATCAATTGTTATAATGATGATCAATTATGATGAGCTTTATTTGTGAGAATCTTTTGGATCGAGCAGCATGCTGCATGTTTAGGATGCAAAAGGATGAACGGATCGTCACGGGATCGTCCAGAACTGGACGGACTGTTGCGGACGATGTATGTGGTCAGCACCAGCAAGGGCAGTGCAGTTACCAGGGCAGGGAAAATGCCCCAAGTAAGGCTGAAGGATGCTGAAGGCGGTGGGACGATGACTTTCAGCGTGCAACCTGAGGAGCTTTAGCTTGAGCTTGCGGAAGGAGCATGAACACATGCACCTGGACCCTCCAATGTGTCTTAGAAAGTGGGAACCTGTGACACCTCAAAAGCAGGTACCTGGAGTCTCAAAGTGCCTCAGAAATTGAGGACATGACTCGACCCTATTAAACTTGAGTACTTCGGAGGGTCCACATACTTGTGTACCTGACATGCGGTGGGCCAAGGATCCCCGCGAGAAGCGACGTTGGAAAAAACCTGTCTAGTTGTTTCGGATGCAGAAGGGGATGAAGCATCCCAGACCGTCCATGGGTTTGGAATGGTCTATACTTACTGTAAACATCTGTAAACCCATTTACCCCATCCAAGGCGTACAGTTTGGAGTCTGGTGATGGTCTGGGCACGGGTAAATCACTTCCAAGTGAACCTGGCTGGGAGTTCCCCTCGGCAGGGATCTTCCTGAATGGTGTTGCGCGGCGAAGCAGCAACGGCACGGTGCTTTGGGAGCCCAAGATGCTAGATGGAAGTCGCTTGATCTTGGGAAGACAAACAGGTTGGAAGCTGTTAGGTTGGAGGCCATCGGTACTAGGTTGGAGGCCATTACCTCTAGCTTGGAGGCCATCGCTATTAGGTTGGAGGCCATCGCTACTAGGTTGGAGGCCATTGCCTCTAGCTTGGAGGCCATCGCTGTTAGGTTATAAGAAGATAGAAGTCGCTTGATCAGAAGAACAGACCCGGTCGAGCTCCAGTCATACCTCAGAAGATGGGACTGGAGTGGGTGCCAGGGTCGGGTCCAGTCATACCGAACCTGAGGAGGTACGACTGGAGCTCTATGGAGAGAGACAGAGAGCATACAGCAAAATACAGAGATCTTCCGAAACACCAGACCAGAGAACGACGAAGAACTGTAGAAGTATTTTTTTCAATTTCGACCTTTCACAGAGGTATCTATACTCTTAGACCTCTTATGAGGTGAGTCAGGGTGTCCCAAAACCACCACGGAGTTGATGGTGAGTTTGTGTGCTTTTGTTTCACATCAAAAACTCACCATCAACTCCGGTCCCAACTGCTCACAGGTCCCAACGGGAATCCGGATGCGGTGCGCTCGTCACACCAGTCCTCGCTCACGGCGAGCGAGCTCTCGTCACAGGACGAGCGTCTGCGTAGTGTTCCGGCACCATAGATAGCCTTTAACGGTTTGCTATAGAGGGGATTGCTATAGAGGGGATTTTCCCAAGTGGACAACCAATATATACCTGGATCTTCCAACTATGCCAAATGTCTGCCTTTGGGTTGCTTCTTATAGGCAGAAGTTTGTCACAGTTGGAAGATCCAGGTTCTTCGCACGCGGCCCCGACCCGTCAGTACCTACGAGCAGCTGAGGCTATGCAGAACCTTATCGATTTAAACCCTTCGGCACCACTCAAGTGGAGAAGGATGGCATCTTAGAGGCCCTCGATCATGACACATGTGGGACGGACGCGAGAGGTGAGCATTAGATCATGGCCGTTTCGATTGATATATATTGTTTCGAGTCGATCTCCGCCCTCGCAAGTGAGTGTTGTATAGTTTTTTAGACATCGGGTAGTTCGACATCTCGGCCACCAGGCCACAAAAGCCTCCGATCGTCCACGCCCTTCGCCCGCCAGGAATGCACACCTGCCATGTGTCCCTTCGCCGAGACCATCCCCCTGCGCGGTCATCATGGAAATGACGCGCCACGGCTGGTGACGTCCTACCTGGTACAGAGGTATTTTAAAGCCCACTGCAGACCCCTCTCACCCTTTCTATGTCGTGGTGCATGAACAAAAAAGGGCTGTGAAACACCTCTCTACTGGCACCCGATCCTGTCGTTCAGGTTCAGGGTAGTGGTTTATTCAATCTCGAGAACGTGATTTGTGGCGACGGTCAACGGCTCGTCCGAGGGGGTTCATCATGTTTGGTGGGCAAAGAATTCATGTGCAATGGCAATGACCGGTTTCTAAAAGCACAGGTTGGACTTTGTAGAAACTGGTTTCGGTATTTTTGGTATAGCACTGTTCAAATGCCGGGCCATGGGGTTTGATGAAGGCAAGTGCAGTTTTGGGATGCGGAACCCATTTGTTGGCCCGCGATCTGATTGTCATGAAACTTGCGAACCAGGTTTGAAGAAGATTATGGGATGATGTTACATGGTGCTTCAACTACTTCCGTTTCGAAGATGGTTGGGTCCGGGTGGGTGCCAGTGGGGTCGAAAACCACCGGTCACCTGAGGAGATGGGACAGGAGCCCGTCTGTGACATGCTGCTTCAGCTGTGACCTCGTCTACTCTCCTCTCCCGCTCTCAGGACCGAGCACGGATCTTGCCGGCCTCGCCCTTGGCTGGAAAGCTGATCAATCGTGCACCTTTCTTTTGGAGCGGAGGCAGGGTGGGCGCATCCGCATCGGCAGCCTCGCAGGGTACGTCTGAAAAAGGTGTGGTCGGGCCCTTTGGTCAAATTCGGAGCGAAGGGAACATGTGGAGACGTCGGGTGGGTGGACCGGCTGGGGTTTCTGTAAGTATATACCTGGAACATCCTGGAACCTGAATGACCTCTGTGACCTCTGTGTGGTCTTCGGAAAAAAGAAAACCAGGTCTTCCGAACCCCGGGGGCCATGTCCTACGTCTCCAGCGAATGAATTCTCCCAGATCTATCCAGTTGGAGATCTGGCCGAAATTCCGGTTCTGGGAGCGATCGATGCCGATCTGACAGATATCGAGTCGTTCTTTGTTCGGTCCATGTCCCGCTCCGTAGATGTGGTGAAGGTGGCCGGCCTACATGTGGTTTGGTGTGGTTTCCTGGGCCGGCCAGATGACAAAAAGCGGCACCACGGAGCGTGAAGGACGGCGGAATTGCACCCCCTCACAGTCGATCTCGTCAGATGGCGCTTGACTGGACTACGACCAGTCCTTCAAACCTCCGCAACCAGAGAGGAGTTGAACTGGTTCCGATGTCAAATGAGATGATTCCATCAGCCAGTGGTTCTTGGCATCCATGTCACTTCTCTTTTAAGTATACTTAGGTTTCCTCGGTGGTTTCTTTGTCTTTCGCGGACCCCCCAGGCCACCAAAACAGCTGCCCGGGAGACCCGGTCTCCGGTGATGTCTGCCTCGCAGGTCTGGGCATTGTGATCCGGAAAAGTGCGCCCAAGGAGCTCAAGGACCGACGGCCCGGCGCCGAGCCGGCACGCTGGCACGTCATGTGTGGAAGCCGGTGAGGGTGGCCGAAGGCAGGTGACGAACAGCAGAACATAAACGATATGCAGAGGTTCACCATGTTTACAATATGGGTGGGTTTAATGATGTATCATCATTTATGAACAGTATTAAAGCAACCTGTGTCCTCTTTACTTGGGAATGTGTCTAGATGGACAAAGTTTAGCCTACAAACTACAAACTATGTTGAAGTCAACACGGGCGTTGGTGTAACAAATAAGCTTTAGACTATCTACATTACATGTTTTGGAGCTCACTTCCTCCTCTTGTGGAAGGTAGTCCTGGGGGTGTTAAGTGTGTGGCTTAGGCCATTGGAGGTTTCGCCTTTTGAGCGTGTTGGAGTCTTTTGTTTTGGGTAGGGTAGAGGCTCGGGGGTGACAAGGGCAGAAAAGGGGCAGATGGTGCTGGGCTAGTTTAGTCTGCAAGTCACTGCAAGTCAGCATGTTTGAAGGTGGTTCAGCTCTATATAGGGCAGGGATGGTCGACATTATGGCGCACCTCGATTGGATATCCAGACAGGATGATCCTGGCATTTTCAACATGTTCCATCCATGTCCATGTCCTTTCGAATTCTCCCAGCCTTGGCCCCCATGGAATCGGTTCGTCACATGCACATGCCGCGACCGTCGGATGAGCCGCAGGACATGCTCTGGGACTGGATGGTCTACACGAAACGCGTTGAGACGTCCGCTAAGGACCCCCCGCGGTCGTCGGTGGACCGTTGTGACGCTCCAGATCATCCGGACGTGGAGAGTTACGCCATGGGGCATGTGGTTCAAGCATGTTCAAGCAAGAGAGCTTTCCAAAGACACGGCGTTCTGTTTCAAGCCGTAGCCCTTACAAGTCCAGCATGCCCGGCTGCTTTTGGCGAAAGCGCGCGCTTAATCGCCCGTGGTGCCGCGGGCGGGGCCGGGCCACGTGCCGGGCCGGAGCGACACCGGTCTGGCTTGAGGACGTGGCCTCCTATGCCAGCTGGTTGGATTCCTGGCGCTTCACGCAGCTGACACCGGACGGCCAATACTTCCTCAACGCTGGTTGGTCCGAGGCAGCAGAAACGCCGTGGAGGGCAGCCGAAACGCCGCAGATGGCTGGTTAGAGGTAGATGCATCGTGATGAGTCAACCAGACGCCCCCAGACATGGAATTGTAAAACCTTTGAAAGGCTTCGGGGTGCAAAGGGAATTACTGTAAGACGTTTCAGCGCTTCTGTCGTGATCACTGGTGGAATCGGATGTCAATGGTGGACACTGTGGATCTGGGGCAGTGCAAAAAGATGGTCGAAGGCATGGCTGAAAACATCAAAGCGCAAAGAGCTTCGAACACCTGAAAGCTTGTCACATGGCTGTGGGACAAGACATGTGACATTTACCCCCATAGACCCGGGACATCCTGGTTGACCAGAAGTTCCAGGGTTTGTGGATGGAGTTTCACGACCCCCAGGGTCTGTGTCCCACATAGTTCAAACCCTAAGGGTCCAGGACCATCCGAATCGGATGGTTTTGGAGGTGAGTATGTGTTTCCTGAGAATGGTCGAACTGGGGCCTTTCAGGACATCCGAGCAACGGATGGTCCTGGACCCTTAGGGAAAATGTTGAAGCCTTCCAACCAAGTTGGTGTCAGTCAACTTCCTCACAGATCCTGGAGGGCCCCCCAAACGTCAAACACCCAAAAATGAAGTGACTCTTGGATGATGTACATATGATGTTCAGATGAGCTCAAGTTCCTACTGGGATGAATCTTCAGCAGTGCTTCGCAAGATGCTGCTGCTTCGATCACTCCCTTTTGACTGAGTTTGAAGTAAAGAAACCTCGAAAAGGGGCCTGGAACACTCAGATCTTGGTCCAAAGCGCGCCGATAGGTCCTTTGTAGTCGACGATAGGCTCCTTAGGGTACAGGTGCAGCGTAGGTCTGCAAGTACCGAAGATGAGGGATGCGTCTTGGAGGGTCACGGTAGACAGCATCCCGACAGGCATCGCCATCGCTTATCCGGATTTGAGCTGCTGTTTGGATCACAAGAGCGATGAGACTCGCATTCGCACCTGTTGTTCGATCCTCAACATCCAAAAGCAAGAGCTCCAAACCTCCAATCCTCGCTTAGCCAGCGCTCTTCGAGCGTGCGCTGGCTCGTGCGCCGTGCCGGACTGGTCGGACGTCTCATGATGCAGGTGGCTTATCAAGAGCATCGATCGATCATGCACTGGGCTCTGGGGACGGACTCGAATGGCGCCTTCAATCTTCGACTTCCAGGCGTGGCCCGCTCCCAGGCCTGGGCGCTGAGGGTCCAAAACACTCAGATTCCTCCTTTTTTGGGTAGAAACATGGGACATGACTGACCCTTCAACAGCAGGTACTTCGTAGTTATTCCCCACCTGGAGGGTTGTTAGATTTTATCAGAGCTCTTCTCCTCCTCTTCCCCTCGCTTCTCCTCTAATCTTCTCTTCTCCTCTCCTCGTCGTTTTGACTACTGCACCTCAACCGCCAGCTCCAGATCGCAATGGGCTATATCGCAGTGGACACTGCCGGACCTCAACTGCAAGTGCATGATCGCAGCGGGCACTCCTGGACCTCAACAGCAAGCGCCAGATCGCAGTGGGCACTACCGGACCTCAAGAGCAAGCGCCAGATTGCAGTGGACTACCGGACCTCAACAGCAAGCGCCAGATCGCAGTGGACACTACCAGACCGCAACGGCAAGTGCTAGATCGCAGTGGGCGGTCAGTCTCTTGCAACTGCTGAAACTTGGTCAAGTCTCTTGCAGATACAAGAGCTTGAGCAAGCCTCTTGCAAGTCCTAAAGCCTGAGCAGATTACAGGTGCTGAAGCTTTGGAAAGATATTTGCAAAAGCTAAGGCTTCATGAGTGTGGTAGAGCGTGTTTCCATACGATGATCTCTTCATGTTTGCTTTAGTTGGTCCGAATTCTACCTTTGTTTCCTCCAAGGTTGTTACACTTGCACTTAAAGGCGTCGACGGGATCCTTGATGATTCTGTTGGTCGATGATCTGCCTTGCTGTCTTGTTCGGGCTGAGGCTGTTTACTGTCTTTCCTGTCCTTGTCTGGTGACATTCTCTTGGAATGAGCGAGTCCACCTCACACAGAAGCTGCTTCTGCACAACATCTGTACTATAAGACCATAAGCTTGCCAGTTCTGAGGCCACCAGCACGATCCTGCGAGAGGGTCGCGCAAGCACGCCGGATCCTCCGAAAACCATATCTGAGGCCACCCCACACAGAAGCTGCTTCCCGTACTACATTTGCACTATAGGCTTGCCAGCTCTTTGCGCCACAGATCCTGCGAGAGGGTCGCGCAAGCACGCCGGATCCTGCTGAGGCCACCTCACACAGAAGCTGCTTCCCGTACTACATTTGTAGCTTGCCACGCAGTTCTGAGGCCACGAGCCAGAACTCATGCTCAAAACGGCTCAGAATGCTTGAAAGTCGGAGCTTTCCTGTCTCGGGCGAGACCTTTTACAGGGTACGGAGGTCAAGAAGTATCTCCGATACACAGTGTCTGTAGAGTCAGGAAAAGTGGGTCTGGAAGCTCTAGGAAGTTTGGTTTGGGAATGTGGCAAAGGTCGGTGGATATATGGAGTTGTGAGATGTGAAGTTGTGAGATGTCAAAGATTTGCGTAGTCAGACAGCTGTACATTCTTCAGCCGATGGGAGCTGTGCGTATGGCCTCCTTTGTATAGGATTCATGGAGGAGTTGCCAGCTCTTTCGGATTTTAGAGGTAGCGCTCGGCTAGAGCAGTTTGACTTCCTTTCTGCTGGATCTTCCTCGTCTGATGTTGGAGATGCTCCGAGCTCTCCTGGCCATAGAATGCATGGCAAGCAACGTTTGCCGTCATGTTGGATTTTGAAGTGCAATGTGGCATCGGTTGCCGAAGTTGGCTTCGAGCACAAAGTTACGGCATACATAGAAACGAGCTTTGAAGTAGTTTTGTGTCAATGGGAAGCCGAGTCTTGCACAAACAAGCGGCATGAATTAAAGTGCGGCAGCCAGCTTGAGTGTGTCGTCATCCATGAACAGGACGTGTAGAGAGAATCTCAGCAGGGCCCGCTCTCCAGGTCTTTCTGGTCGGAACGCAGCATAGTGAAGCGACCGATGGAAAAATGGTGATTCACCAGAAAGTGTGCGCTGTTGATGGTAGTGCTGGCTCAAGGGAGAGAACAGCAAAAGTAGATTGGTGTATTTCTTTTTGGAAATGTTGCTGGTGTCTCCTGTTTTTGTCCTTTTGGTCCGATTCGATCCTGTGAGAGGGTCGCCTGAGCACCGGTCAAATGTTCATTTCCCTACACGTTTGGGTACTTGACAGGCCGGATCCTGCAAGAGGGTTCCCAGCATCAGTTCGTCAGATTCGCATTTCGCTTCACGTTTGGGCCCTCCACAAGCCGGATCCTGCGAGAGGGTTCCTGCCAACCAAGAGAATTCGCATTTCGCTACACGTTCGGGCACTCGACAGGCCGAATCCTGTGAGAGGGTTCATCCAGCACCCGTCAAATTCCTATTTCGCCACACATTTGGGTGCTTGACAGGCCAAATTCTGCGAGAGGGGCGCGCCTCCGAGTAAGAGAATTCGCGTTTCGCTACACCTTTGGGCACTCGACAGGCCGAATCCTGCGATTGGATTGCTTCTTGCGTGCTCTCGCTTGGTCCGCCCCGGCTTGAAAGATAATTGAAAGAGCGAGATGTCAAGACAAAACTTGGTTTTGCGAGCGCCAAGCTATCTAAAACTTGGTCAAGTCTCTCGCAAATGCTAAAACTTGGTCAAACCTCTCGCAAGTGCTAAAACTTGCCTGTCTGTCTGTCTGTCTGTCTGGTTTCTTTTTGCTAATCCTGCCTGTCTGTGTGGCTTCTCTTTGCTAATCCTGCCTGTCTGTGTGGTGGTTTCTTCTTGCCGATCCTGCCTGTCTGTGTGGTTTCTTCTTGCTGCTCCTGCCTTTCTGTGTGGTTTCTTTGGTGGTCTTTTCTTTCTGTGTAGTGGTGGTGGTGTGGGGGACGTGGTGCAAATGCTCAACCATGGTCAAGTCTCTTGCAAACGCAAGAACTTAGTCAAAGTCTCTTGCAAATGCAAAAGCTCTTACAAGTTACAAGTGCTACTGCTAAAGCTTGATCAAATCTCTTGCAAGTGCTAGACTCTTACAAGTGCCACAGCCTCAGCTAGACAGACCAAGTCCTAAAACTTGATCAAGTCTTTGCAAGTGCTAGACTCCTAGACTCTTACAAGTGCTAAAGCCTCAGCTAGACAGACCAAGTGCCTTTAGGAGGGGCCCTTCGACCAAGTCTCTCGGGAAAAAGTCAGACGGGAAACATGTCAGAACACACGCAAACAAAGATGTCAGGACACAGTCCAGAACGTTTCCCAGCCTTTATGGTAGATGATGTGTCAGAGCACAAACCAGATTTGATGCCAGAACAAGCGTCAGAACATCTTGTCAATCCGCACAAGTCGCCTTTCAGGGTAAAGTTTTTTTTGTGAGCTACGACCTGCGACTCCAGTTTTTTGTTTCAGGTCCCAGCTGATTGGACCGCTGATTGGCACCCAACATGATTGGACTATCTGCGATCCTATCGCTACACAAAGGGTATTCTGAGCAATCCCTCAAGTGAGGATGGGCATGCCTTCCACCAGGCAGTTAGGTCATTGAATCCTTAAAGTGCAGTGTATATCACACGGAAGGGGGAGAAACCGTTGGCATCCTCTGGCAAAATTTGCCTTACATGATGGGGGCTTTGGGTGACGATTTTTTCATAATTGTTTTGTGCTTATGTTTAAGAAAGTGGGGGGGAACATCGGGGAACTGTTGAAGGGAATTTTTCCCCATCTCAGAGATTTCCAAACACTACGATTTCTCAGTTTTGTTCAGGGTGTTTTGGCTACCTTGCCCCCTGACACGTAATGTAAATACACAGCCTATAGCCACAAGGTTTCGATAAATTCTTATATTGTTTGGTAACCTCCAACTCACTAGTTGAACCATATAGAAACCAAACCGGTGTTCCAAAAGAAAAAACACACATATCACCCACACATCACACAACTGCAGACCGTGTGGTTTTCGTGCCCACCATGACCAAGGCGCCAAGACGTACACGAAGACTGTGTTGGCCAGCGTGGGGAAGCCTGGGAGACGGAAGCCTGGAGACGCAATGACGCAATGGACTGGATGTGCAAGAAACATCCAAGGTCAACCTAGATTTCTTGATACTTAGATCTTGGAAGAAGGGAACATCATTGATGGATTTGATGAAACATGCAAAGATGGCAATGATCCATATAATTTGGCGCACCAGAGTGTCCGACGGTCCGAGAAATGGCCACTGCTCGGTCCGACTGCTCCGAAAATCCATGTTGGACCCAGACACTCTATGGGTCTGACATGTCCGATGGGGATGGTGGATTTCAGGTGTTTTTCTGGGGCGGTATATATATATATATTCCAATCTCAGGCAGGTCGTGCTATGTGGAAGTACTATGCGGAAGTTGTTCTCAACCCCCAGTTTCCTCCCAATCTCCACTCGTCTACTCCTTTGTTCAGATGTCCGTTCGCCACTCTCAACTTCAAGCCAACCTAGAGGAGCACAAGACCCTAGAGGAGAACAAGACCTCATGTGACCGGAACCAAAACACCACTCGAAATGAGGAGCAGTAAGCTTGTAAGGAGCAGGAGACTGGACGCACCAGGACTGATAGGTCGGACCCGCAGGGTGCTGAGCTTTTCGCTAAGAGGTTCTCTCAACCTGACGGTCGCTGGTGAAGTCCTGCGGTCGCTGCTCGTGGACGTGGACGAAAAGAAGATACGAAGAAGCAATCCTAGGTGGTGTTAGGGATGTTAGAACCAGATTTCCAGATAGTCTTTACTGAACGTACTATGGATGTTAGACAAATACCAGGTCAACCATGCGTTTAATGGTCATTGAAGGCTAGGGTGGTGGTTTAGGATATGTGTTTCTACTTTTACTTCGGATCATTGAACCCACTTAATGTGTGTCAAGTGAATTGACACCCTGGTATAGGCTGTAGGGGATTGTTTCCACCTTGTTGGCTTAAAGGATGCTCACGGCCTGCCAAGAAGGTTTGTTTGTTGGTTCTTGGGGATGCTCCTGTTGACCAGTTGGGATTCTTCAGGTCCGGTCCTCCTGCAAGACGAACACGCGAAGACGAGCAGAATGTTTGAATCGCTCAGATCGAAGGACAGTGGATAGATGTGAATTCTTGAGCATGTAATAAGGATTCCCATCTATCCACTGCCACCTTCTAATCTCTGCGAGGGTGAGAAGATCTGCGAGGTGATATGAGATCTGAGATGTGGAGACTGAAGACCCCTTCTAAACTCTTTGGGTGTCCAAAGTGTTGATCAAAAGCACCCGTCTCTTTCTCCACCGGAAACGACAGAAACGGACCGACCCGTTTCACGGAACCGCTCCAACGAGCTCTCCTCGCGCTCCGCGTGTCGAGGCCATGGAGCTCTACATCTCTGGTGCAGTGCAGAGGGACGAAGTCTTGGAGCGTCCCTTGGGTTTGGCCAGTCTGCGGTTTCGGCGCGCCTGTTCGTTCTCGTACGCGGAAACGCGGAACTCGGTGGAGGACCGGGGAGTCCCTCCGGGGGTGGGTCAGGGTGGGTCGAAGGTAGTGGATTCATCCCAAAAATCCACCATGCAGAACAGTCTTGTTTGACATGTTTTTGGCATCTCCAGGGGGTTCCTGGGGTTTTATATGGTTTTATTCATCAACAGCCTGCATGAATCTACATTGGTTTGGAAACATCTTGGTGAGACCATGCCACTTTGCCACTTCGCATGGCCAGTCAATGATTTTTGGTGTGTCATTTGGAGGCATTCGGAACAATTCGACTTCCCCTTTATATAATTATAGGCCCATCCTGAAACAAACTGCTATCCATCCACATGTTTGAAGGCAATGTTGCCAGAAAGCTGCTGGTGTGATGTTCACTCACGTTAACCATAGCCTGTTTGTGCATAGTGCCATCTGAGTTCCACATAACAAAAACCAATCACATGTCCGGCCCCCCCAAAAAGAGAAACACGTCTACCGCATCCGCACCGCCATGGCACGACGGAATCCGATCCGCCCACGGCGTCAGGTGTGGAGAACGGCTGGATGGCGGAGACTCAACGACGAGGCCGTCGGCACCGGGGAGCAAACCTTTCAGGTGCCCGATTTCAGGTAATCTAGAGGTGTGTCACACTATAACCAAATAAACCTGAATAAACTTTGACTGGTAAATGTCCTTCAAGAAACCGGGTTCAATGGTTCTTGCAAGCGTCGGTTGCCAACTGGCCACTGTGCTTGCGTGGTCCGGAGCATCCGAGGAGCGAAGGAAAGGTTGTTTTGCCGCATCTCAGGGATCGATTCGGTGCCTTTATAGCGATGTAGGAGATCTAGCTGGCGGAACAAGGAGATGGATGGATGGCACATGGTGCAGGGCAGGGATCGTGATAGAGTGAATATATTCCTTTTGGGCCATCAAACTTCCAACATTCCTATCAAAACAGGCCAGTGTCAGCTGTGTTGTTTTAAAGGTTGGTGCAGAAGTTGGAAGGTGCGGAACAGGGGGAAGGGATTGGGAGCCTGGCTCGAAAAAGACTGTGCCTACATTGACCCAAATCACACCACCCCTGACCTGATGTACCCAAAGATCGCATAAGGTATTTACTCCCACCACCCACATGCCACGGCTTGAAATCACAAGAAATGGTCCATGTAGCGAAAGACCAACACCAGCTACTGGTCCCCTGGTGTTGGGTGAACCCTCTCATCCCGCCGGCACGAGGGATTCTCGACCAGCTGGCCATCTATCGCGCAGCCTTGGGCCTGACGCCCATGGAGGACAGAGTCCGATGGAGCCCGTGAGCGACTTTGCAACTCCTGGCGCCCCAAAAAGGGTTCCACAACGTGCCACCCATGGAATTGAATAGGGCAGGAATCAGGAAACCAAATAAGAATGAGTTTCATACAGGCATTCCCCACCGGGACCCTCCAAAGTACCTATCAGAAAATGCTTCATCATCCTACCAAAAGCGGGCGCAAAACGACTCCCAGTTGGAGCGCTCCAACCGATTTCCTCGGGTGTTGTGACGATGTTTTCAGAGACCCCCGACTCCCCGGTCTCCGCTTGACAGCGCCGAGACGCGACGGAGCCGGGTCTCGATCCCATGTATTGAAACCGGGCTCCTGTCGTACCTACCTGGTCGCAGGTATATATGGACCCGACCCTGGCACCCACCCCAGTCCCACCTTCGAAGGTACGACTGGAGCTCGACCCGGGTATAGTGCCACTACAGGGGTCCTACTTCAGGTCTCTCATGTGTATCATTTTTTTGGAGGGGGGGAGGCCCTATACTTCAGGTCTCCGAGGTCCTATACTTCAGGTCTTCGATCTCAACAGTGCAAGTTTTGACCAGAATGGCACAGTACAATAGCACTCCTCAGAGGTAAAAGATGGTTCAGGGGTGTCCATTAATCACCCTTCAGGGTCCTGGTATTGATACAGCACATCATCATTGCGCATCACAAATTGGGACGTTGCAGTCTACAAACATCTCTGACCAATTAGTGTAGATCAAGCTGTTGAAGGATCAAGGGCTGAACTGAACCAAGTTGACTTCCAGCATTTGGTGCCTCTTAGAGTGCAACGGCACACATCCTTCCGATTTGCGAGCCCTTTTTGAGGCACCAAATCTGCCAGAGATCGACCGACTCTGGTCAGTTTGTGCTCTGAGGATGTTGGGAGAATCTCTCTCTCTCTCTCTCTACAATATGTGTGTGGTTGACGGACCTCCCATATCAATGCGCATTGTACGGTCATGGATGCTGTTTTTGGTGATCAAATATCCATGCATGTGGTTTTCGTGCATACAGTCATAAATATTAAATGTTGTAGTAACATGTTGTAATAATATGCGGATTCTTCTTCAGACCCAAGGCCAATGAACACAGTCTCAAAGGTAACTTGGTCTCTTCATGTTTCTGGGCGCCAGAAAAATCATGGGCCAGGACCCCGAATTGTGCCAGCTCCATCGAGAAGCCATGGATCGTGTGGATCCGGCGGTTTGTCGAAGGCGAGCCCGGCGAGCCCTGAAACCGGGATCGGGTCGAACCGAGTCGGAGGGAAGCTGTTGGACTGGCAGTCACGTACACCCGAAGGAGGTCGGGTGCGTGGGCCCATACCGATACCGAGGTTGGAACAGCCCTAGAAAATCGCCCATTCCATGTATTGGAACAGGGCTCCTGTCGTACCTACCTGGTCGCAGGTATATGGACCCTCTAAACCCACCCCAGTCCCACCTTCTCGGAAGGTACTTGAAGCCCTAGTTATAGTTCAGGTCTCTCAACCTGTCTTGGTATGGTCCTATTCAGGTCCCATCTGGGCCAGCAGACAGCTTGAACAGTTCTTAAAGGCATGCAACCTCCCAGTTTTGGCGGGATTTGTCACGCACATGGGCTGTATAGACCCCCAAATAGATAGAAAAGTAGATCTCCACTAAACATGTGTTGGAACCTTTGTTTGTCTATAATCAGGGATCACTATAGTCACTATACTTTCTTCACACATTTTTGTTGGGGAGGAAGGACCCTCAGACCCTCTCATGTGTTGGATCCTCATCGGGATTGGACGCTTTTACAGACTTCGTATCAGCCCTTGGGCGTCCGAATGAAGGCCTTGCAATCGATATACATCCATAGAATCTCCAGATCCCAGCAGTTTGGATGGTTTTCGCATGGGTGTTCTTCGACCCATCCAGTAAGTGGATGATCCTTTCGAAGCTACCAATAAGCAGCCAACTCCATGCAACTCCTAAAACATGTGTATGATTCTATACCTGGACCCTCCAAGGGGTGTCAAATGGACTACCCCGCACTACCTATAGGCTTCCAAACAGGGCACCTCTTGGAGGGTCCTGGTATGATGTCTACTTTCTTTGGTCTTCAGCTCAGAGGAGGTGGCCCGTTTGTGCTGATTCTTGATCAGAGGCCAGATGCCATGTTTTTGCGTCCGGGTGATTTGGATTGATGATGATTGATGCATCCGAGGAGTTACTCCATGTATGTATGGCATTATATTAAGATTATATATATATATATATATAATATATATGGAGACGTATGGATTGTATGGAGATGTATGGCATTTTTACCAATCTTTACTGACAGAACCTCACCAGACAGGGTGGCTGAAAAGGCTTCTTGCTGAAAAGGCATCCCTACGTAGTTACCTACGCTTTTGGTCGGACCGTTGAGAACGGTCGTTGGCCCCGGGTTTTGCAAGTGCTTTGAGACTGAGAAGATGGCAGCTGTCTTCTGTGTGCTGCTGCCCCTGCGCAGCTTGCGGATGATGGAGATCCCAACAATCCTTTTCACTGAACCACTGCCGGCCAATCGCCGAAAATTGACAGCGCCTTGAAATCTTCTTCACGTGGTGAAGAAGCGCCCCGTCTTCCATTGTGTGGCATGCGAACACCTGCTCTGAACTGTCGTCAACTCATTCAAATCCTGCCCAATGGCCAACCGGCCAAGCGCTCGTCGACTCCCACTCACCACTCAGAACGCTTCGCTTGCTTTGTTGGGCGGCACGCCGTTGCCGAGATGGGTGCAGAAAACACGCCGTCGCCGGCCTTTTTGGGAAAACCCTCTGGCCCAAGAGAGGCTTTTGGAGACCTGAACTGCAGACCCCAGTGGATTCCAGTTACCACTATATCAGGAACCAGGGATTCGTTCGGTCTATGGTTTTAGTCGAACTGGAATCACTGGTTACCAGCTATAGTGATAACTGGATGCCCTGGGGTACATATAGGGATGGGCGATACATAGGACTCTTCAACCTCTCTTGGTTTGGCCTGCCCCAGGGTCTTTACAGGGAGGGTCTCAGTGGCCCAGTCAGCGCTGTGGAACCTGGAAAGGTTTCGAGCGAAACCGTTCATCGACGAAAGAACAATTGTGATCCGACCATGGGCATGGTGGGGTGCTTCGTGAATGCACGTGACGTCATGAGGTGTGCTTTGGAAGGAGCAGCAATCGTCTTTATGGAACCTTAGGACCTTCATGGACCTTCAATCTTCCTTTCAAATCCTCTCATTCTACTCTAAAGTAAATCCGCTCATTCTCCTTCAGCACCTGTCATGCTGTTCATTGTTCCTCAGGCCCTTAGGGATCCTTTCACTTTGTTCAGCCCCCTTTCATGTAATGTTTCTTTGAAGTCCGTCCATCTTCTTGTATTGTCATGTATTGTTTTGCCCTTGACACCCGCTTTGTCATGCTCTGCTGTGTCATGGAATTTCAGGTAGCGCACTTACCCACACCCTTTACGAGTCTGGATTGAAAAGAATACCTGCAAAAGTGTTTGTCTTTGATGTGGATGCTCCACCTGACTTTCTTGCTTCTTATGGTTCCCTTCTTGCTCTAAATTCCATCAGTGGATCCAGAAGAAAACACATGTGCAAGTGCAAAGGTAGAAATATGATAGAACTGTCTATTGCTCTAACCTTGTTCCCTGAAGTGACCAACAAAAGGTGTGCAAGATATTTTCCATGGCTCCTTCCTGCTCCGAACCGAACGAGATGGACATCACTGGCCTCAAAACCGCTAACGGGTCGAACTGTTCCTTCTTTACACAACCTCTGAGTGACGCACAGGGCGGGCCACAGGTGCCCATAAGAAGCGCAAGCTTGGGATGGACTTCGTGAGCAGCCGATGGTGTCATCTCTACTGGGTTCTGCAGCCCAGGAGTCTTCTGTTTGGTTCTTGTGCCGCGTGTCAACACGGTCTATCCAGTGCTTCGACATCCCGCACAAGCGAAATCGGTCGACAGCGGTAGGCTCCTACAGCCAGCGGTAGGTCGACAGGTTTTCGCGGTAGGTCGGGGGCGCCGAAAAGCTAGGGACTGACCTGATACTGCGAATCCTTGGGATGTCTTGTGATGGCTTAATAATCCTTGGTAATCCACACCATTTCTTGGTCTAAAAGGCGCTCCACCAAGTGAATGGGTTGTAGAGTAGAATGTGTTTTTGTTTCAACACGTTTCAAAGGCACTTGAGCCCGTGTCGAATGTTTGGTTCCGCAGCCGCGTTCAGCCAACAGGTTCGATCCTGTTACCGAGTTTTACCTGATCGCACTCATCGCACCTGGGTTTGCATGGGATGAGTGTAAGATGAGGAACCAAACAGGTACAGAATACCTGGTGATTATAGATTTCCTTAGAGCTGTTCTACAGGAAATCGATGGGCAAGGTTCGTTTTCCCCGCCGAGTTGGAAATTTGCCTATCAGATTTGGCCTTTGACTGCATGTAGTTCCTGCAAAAAATCCTATGAAGCCTCGGGTGACAACTCATTTCTTGATGCTCTAATCCGAGTGTTCAAGTCACAACCGAATGAACCCACAGACAAAAGCATTTACACCTAGGCGTAAGCTAGGGTTGACTGCCAACATTGAGGAACCTATCTCACAGGGACTGGTTGAGAGTCACATTTGCCCCGCCACAATGCCAAGACTGCTGGTCTCCAAAATTTGGAAGTCTTCCTCCCTATAGCAATGCCTAATAGCCATGGCCTTCATCCTAAGAGCAATGGCCTCCAACCTAACAGCAATGGCCTCCAACCTAATAGCATAATAGCAATGCATCCATCCCATGAGCGATGGCCTCCAAGCAAATAGCAATGGCCTCCATCCTAATGAGTGTTTGGGAAAGGAATCGGTCTCAAATCACGAGGCGCTCGGTAGCCTCCTTGTGGCGGGCACTCTTTGCTCCTGTGCGATCTTCGTTTGGCACACCAACCATGCCAAGAAGAAGCTTCTAAAGGAGCTGAGCTGGGAGGATGTATGGGACATTTAAAGGGTGTAGAACAACAAAAGAGCAATGAAGTGCATACTTTAAGTGCATCAATTTAAGATGTTGTCTTTCAATCATGGTAAACATCGCAACTTGCCAACTTGCCATGGAAACGGATGTTTGCTGGATCCTCAAACCAACCGACGTCCTTCCTTCCTCGTCTTCCCAGGAGAAAGAGGCGAACTTGGACAGCACCGTCACTCGAGGTGCCACCGGAGACGGGTCCGAGCGCCGTCGAACGTCGACCTGCGCGCTCTGTTTGGGGGACGTAGTTGAGGCCCCGGCTGTTCCACCGTATGATGTAGAAACTACATGGTTCTTCTCCTATTTGGCTTTTGTTGAAATGTGAGGATCACCCATGGATCACCTAACTTTGCAGGCAGATTGTTATGGCTTTTAATATCATATTATTGTTTATACTTGGATAGTTGAGCTATGACCAAACCTCGAAAAATGGACCCTTTCTTGGAGATGACAAGCATCCATTATGAGGACCTTTGCTGGACCAGGTTCTGGCCCAAGCTCAGTGGTTTGTCGAAAGACGCGCGCGTTTGAAGACGGTGGCTTCCAGGACTCGTGGAGGTCACCGATGGAGGATGGGCACTGAACTAGGCCTTGAACTGTCCATCCAAAACGGAGGCCTTGAACGAGGCACGAGCTCATGGTAGGGTTTCGCAGATGTAGGCTGCCTGAGTTAACACGACCAACTGCCCGAAAACTGGAAGAAACGAGACGCTGCTGAAAACAGCCACTAAAAGCACTGTTGGTCCAGAAGTCAGTGGTTGGCCATGGCAGTTTCTTCTTTCGAATGCGTCGACTGCCTGGGTCAGTGGACGGTCTTGTTCATCTCCAGATGGTTGATCCGACGGAGAAGGATCTGAGACGACGGGTGTCCCGCGTCGATCGAGCGACGACCCGAACGACCGGCAGCGACCGTTGACCAGGCTTGGCCACGGTGAGTGAGCTTGGCTATCCGATGGCGATCATCTCAGCGCAGGAAACGGTGCAACGGTGGATGGGATGAAGGCTTGGAGGAAACATACATGGAGATGCGATTGGACCTCTGTTCTTTTTGGAAGCTCTCAAGGAGCATGGCCAAAAACTGCCCCACGCAGTACTGTACTGTGCAAGAAAGTCATTGCTGCAGGTGGTGTGTGCAAGAAAGTCATTGCTGCAGGCTGCAGGTGGTGCTTTGGATTGCTCGACGAACTGAGGGATCCCTTCTGGGTGTACGTAAGATGTCTTCGCAAGATAGGAATGGAGCGTTTAACATGTTTGAACTAGCCTCTTACTAGTGTGGTATTTGGTGAGTACAGCTAGAGTGTCCCATCCTGACACTGGGAGGTTCCTCATTGTTGTTGCCATAGGTTCCTTAAGAATCACTTGTGATGAGTGGTGGCAAGAAATCTAACCACCTGGAGTCTCAGTTCGTACGTCCCAAAAATGGGTCAAAGATGATATGTGTATTTTTCTAGCAGGGTCATGTAACAAAGTCAGGTCCAGGCAGGTGCAAAGTTTGCAGCCATGGAAAGAGCCTGAAGCGGTTTGCTTCAAGTGAGTCTGCCAGCACCTTTGTGACAACAAGGTGCTAGCACCTTGTTGACCTTGAATTGACGTCTTCTGAATGAGTTACCTTTGGTGTGAGTTCCTCTTCGAAGTCCGGTCCTTCTAACCAACAGATGTCGAAACCACCGAGGCCAGCACGAGTTCGCGCGAGTTCGCGCGCGCGATCACTGGGAGCTTCTGTGTTTTTTTGCGCTTTTTGAGGACTTCATGAAGGTCACCATGGAGGAGTTGGCATCCTGTCACGAGGGCCTACGGGATTCTTGGATTAAGAAAGGGAACATTTTGCTGTGAAAACTAGGTTGTAGGGAGCTTGCCGCTTGGGAGCAGAGGATGAACATGATGAAAATAAATGGCCTAATAAGATGGACCCTCAAATGCAGTCGGCGCTTCTCTCCTCCAAACCCGGCCTCCCAAAAAGCCTTCGAAACAGGAGTCATAACAGGAGCCCTATTGGGGGGGAACGAAATCCCTCCAAAAACTGTTCCGTTCCCAAAAGAAAGTCACTCATTTTACCCTCAGGCTAGTGGAAAAATATGACTGCCAGGCTGCCAAGTGGGGCAAAATGAGTCAGACTGGATAATTCGTTTGAAAAAGGTCCGCTCCCACCGCCCACCAAACCGATGTTGGACTCGCTTCAGCGAGTGGCCTTTGGGTCTCGGATTTGCGCCGCGCGGTGAAAAAGACGCGCGGATGGCATACCTATGCCATGTCGGAAGCAATCCCTTGCTATTGTGTCGAGTTTGGGTGCCTTGGAGCGTTTAGGAAGGAGAAGAATCAAGACCCAAACGGTTGCTTTTGGTAAAGTAAAGCATTTCAAAGTGTATGTATAATATCATGTGTTGTCTTTAAGACGCGAGTATCATAATCATGATTCAGAATGAGAGGCCAATTATCAGAGTAGATGGTAACGATCATCTCAAGATGCTATGCCTTTTTACTTTGAACGGGCCATTTGTATTGAACCGGCCTCCTTTTCAGTACACAGAAACAGTTGACAGAATCCCCTGGTTGGACATCGGGCCCCTGCAAACAACTTCTTTGGGCCCTCGAAGTTCAATTCCTCGTGGCAAGGAAAACAGTACCATCCATTTTCTAAGTTTCTTTAAGTTTTACGCTATGTCTATGTCCTTTGCCTTATTGTTAGTCTTGTGTTTGTTGTAAGAGGTGTTGAGACCAACTTAAAGATTAACTATTTTGCTGGGAACTTGATGTTCCAGCAGATTCCGCCCGCAGTTCCATTGTTCACCCCACTAGGATTATTAAGGATTGTCATTCATGAAAGACTGGAATTCTCCCAGTTCCAGCGCGTTTTTTCACCACGCTTGGAGGAGAGGGGTGCTAATGACATCCACTCCATGGATGGGTCCAAGAAAATAATTCAAAAACTTGATCTTGCGTTTCAATTCAATCCACCTCGTTGCTATGTACACTCGTTTTTTCACCCGCTGCGCTCGTGCATGCGCGAACATGCTCGCGCATACCTTCGAGGATATCGGCTACCTTCGGGTGCTCGACACCACGGAGGAGCCGTTGATTGACCCGCGGCGTCGAGTTGCGGGTCCTGCATCCAGTAGATGTTGGTCGCCATGTAGGCTGTCTTCCAAGACCATCCCAAAGGGTCACCATGAGCTATGCGACTTAAGATGCTTTGTTTCCAGTATAATAGTTGTTGGGCAAGAGATTGTTGGGCAAGCGACTGCATGCTACTTTCCAAGACGTTTTGTTTGTTACCTTTGCTTCCTTGAGCCGTTTTTCTCAGCGGGACTTCACGTCTGCAGCACTGGAGAACAAGGAGCCGCATCGAAGTCCATGTTTCACCACCAAAACTGCTCACACCCGCAAGGAAGGGCCTGCAGGCAGCCGGGGCGTCCCCGTTGACACCAACGGGGAAGCCCTGAGTGGTTGATATGTGTCAGGATGCCCCACCTCCATGAAACCTTCCGCCGCTCACCCGCGTCTCTTGCCTCTTTGACACATCCAGAGGGTCGCTGACCTGTCGCGAGGAGATCAGCCATTTTCACGACATGGGAAATGTCATTGTGCCTTGGGCGTCGGTCATGGCGCCATCGAGCGAGTCACTGGAACGAGTCATCCCCAGATCATGGATGACAGTGTATCACATGAAAACCCAGTTGATGACCCATGCATGTCACTACAGCAACATGCAGAAAACGATTCCAGTCGCACGGACGGTTTGGGTCACAGAATGAGAGACAAGGTCATTGACTGCCTCCCACCATGAAATATGAAGGTGTTCCTTCGAGGAAAATGCATACTTCATTCATGAGTTCTGGGTGCTGAACAAGGTCGACCTTGTTATGATATACCATGGACGTGCTGCTGGCAGTCTTGGAATTCCGTTCCACCTTCATAGGCTTTGACATAGAGTCACATAGAGTCACTGAACACTCAGTCTGACAAACCTTGAAGAATACATTGGTAAATCTCTCCGTGGCACCTGATTGTTGTGTGAGCACGAAATTATAGTTCCAGCCAGCATGGCGGGAACAAAGAAGAAACAGACAGAAACACACAAAACATGTACAATTGAGATGCTAGATTCTACCAGCTGCTTCCAAGGGGTTACCAATGGACAACCCCACACTGCTTATAGATCACCATTGGACACCCATTGGAAGCGCTAGGAAGATGCGTGTTTGGCCTTTTCGTCAGCTATGTACTATATATACTGAGGTTTTCTTCAGCTACCACTGGCCTTCATGGGAGCGTCTGGGTCCAGACCTGCAGCAGAGGCATGCGATGGATCACTCGTTGACGCTGGCTGGCGCCGGTTGGGGTGGAAAACGGTGCGTGACAATGGCGTTCGAGAGGTTTTTGGAGACCTGAAGGAAGGAAGACACTACTTTTTGGTGATGCATGGTATGGTGATACATCTACGGGCGATATTTGTAGGGCTGTGAGTGAAAAACCTTCTCTTGGTGACTGTGGAGAAGAGGGCAATGGGACGTGCCCTACCCAGGAACCTTTTTCGGAAAGTGCGGGATGCCGCACCGGAAAGATTGGTTAAACGGTTCTTCCGGGGAAACGGCTTTCCAGTGAGTCCAAGACCTCACACGATTTGTGTCGGCAAACCGAGCCTGAACAAGGGGGTGTGCGCCACGATTCCAACATGTTCACATAGTCGCCAGACCCAAACATTCCAGCCGGATAGCATGCCAGTATTTATGACAATGGCTTTGGGGTTGAAATCATTTTGTTGTTTAATACATACATATATATATATATATATCGATACCTGCATAATTATATGGATTGCACCCCGCAAAACAGTTGGAAACCTTGTAGACCACTTAGATCCACTTAGCATCGTTTTTGTTTGATGCCCAGCCATTTGCACGAACTCAGGTTTTCCGGGGCAGGCGTGCGGCGTTAGCATATGATCTCCAAGGGGATCCTTAGGAATCTGTCGTGTTTGGGGCACAACATTCTCCGGTCTTTGACTGTTCTGAACATGTGTTGTGCTGACACGGAACTGTACCTGAGATATGCTCCTAGCTCAGCCTACGTAGTCGAAGTTGTGTGGCTTGTTAGGCCAAGAACGAGTGCGTGCAGAAAGCCCACAAAACAGAATTTGTTTGAAAAAGAACCTGCATATCGCAATGTTTGGTTCGCATGAGGAGCTGTTGCTATGTGGTTCGGCACGGTGCAAAGTTTGTATAAGCTTGTGTGACGCAACATGTTCATGTGCGTTACTGCCACTTGCTTACGACACCCAAACCAAATGAGATCAAGCATTTGTTCCACGGGCCAGCCGGCTCAGCCAACATGCCGCTGGAAGGTAAACTATGAATGAACTGAGTGTGTATATATCTCTGCATGTAGATATGTTGGGGAACCTGTCATGAACGACTTTTGATTGAGGCCGGTCATAGAAATCTTTTGGCTAGCTAGCTGTAAGTCAATCTACAAGAGCCATGAGACATGGATCATGCCAAAATGTTTCCAACCAGCCATCCCAGTCAGACACAAGCAGCTTAACCTGTTCCCATATATACCTATTCGGGTTCTGCTTTTCTCGGGTTAAGCCACTGCAACGGCTGTGCTTTGATGTGAGGAAACTCTACTCAGAACAAGTTGGCCATAGCATGGAGTGCATCTGGGTTTGGCTCGCACCTCGGCAGAGCAAAAGCCCGAGTTTTTGTTCCTCACCTGCCAGGTAAGGGTCTTTAGTTTTTAATTAAGAAGGGGTCCTCTGAAAATCCTCCTCGTCCTCCACCGCTTCATCCTCATCCTGATGTCACAGCTCGTGCCAGCTCAGTCTGGTCTCGCACGGACCCGCACACGATGGGAGCTCTCCGGTTTGGTCTGGGCAGGGACCCGATCAGTACAGAGAGCTCGAGCTCGGCCAGAAGAGATGCCAATTAAGTGCCAGGTAGGATGCCAGAAAGGGTGTCAGAAGATTCTGTGCCAGTTAGAATGTCACCACATAGAATGCCAGAACATATGCCAGAAAAGAAGTCACAAGATATTAAGTCCATTAGAGTGCCAGAAGACTGGCTAGAAATGCCAGATAGAGTGCCGAAAAGGAGGCCACAAAAATGCCAGGTACAATTATGCCAGAAAACATGAGAGAGAATGCAAGACAGGGTGTCAGAAGTATGCTCCGAAGAATGCCAGAGGATATGCCAGATAGCTTTCTGGGAAGGATGTCAGAATATATGCCAGATAGAATGCTAGACAAGATTAAAATACTCTTTATAAGTCGGTTTCATGGCCATTTAGAATGCAAAATCACGTGTCAGAAACTTTGCCAGACCATACATCGGCACAATGGGCGGGTTTGAATACGTGGCACAACACATATCAGAACCAAAGACGGACCATATGGGCTGCTACTGCCGTCCTGCGTTGCGCTGTAAGGTCTGCCACACACAACCTACCCCTCAACGTCAGAAGGTTCAAGTAGAGGGCCGCGCCGCCTCGGGGACACCAGACTACTTCACATCACCACCAACACAACTGGCACAGAACTGCGTGCTCAAGGTTTGGGCTTCTGGACGCGCATGCGCCTGCAATAGTGTTTGCATTGATTGCTGGCCCACCAGGGTTTGCCGGGCGAGGCACCTTAAAGCACTTTAACAGCAAGCAAGGATAAGTCTGGCTGTAGGTTTCTGGTTTGAGTTTCAGACCGCTGGCGCAGGTTCCGCAGCTGCTTCCTGAGTTAAAGCGTGCCAACGCCACATCGGATGGTTAAGGTTGCATTGCGCCTCTGCGGCGCGCAGTAGCAAAATCAAGTCTGCCCGAGACAACCCTTTTGCGGCCTGTAGCCAACGATGCACACCGTTAGCAAAAAAACACAAATCAAGCCAACCTTGAGAAGTCGTTGCTTCCTCTTGGTGGCGTTGCGCGCTTGCTTTTGGTTGTCTTTCATGTCCTTTCGCAGCCTTTTCCTCTCAGTCTTCAACCTGTCTAGCTCTCTCTTCAGCACCTCCTGGCATTCAGACACTCGGTCGGCGCTCAAAATGGAGTCCATTTTTCTGTAGCATCTTTGGAACCGCCCTTCAAGGCCTCCCCTGTGGGTTTTGTCCTTGGAATCCACCTGGAGCTGATCCCTTCGCAGCTGGACTCTTACAGCAACAGTTGGTGATGAGCAGAGCTGTCGAACACCTTCAGAGACAAACAGTGGCAAGGCCTCAAGGTCCACAAGGGCCACCTGACCAACGACAGGGAGGACACGAAGTGGATTCCCTCCATGCCTTCTCCAAACTTCAAAGGTTGGACTTCGAGAGCCAAGGAGTTGTATAGCTTTCGTGACTGGATGGAACGATTTGCCTCATGGCTTTGCTTGGTGCATGACATGTTTGCTCCTGAGCTTCGAGAAGCCCTTCAGATGGAGCATGAAGTCGTGACAAACAGTCCTGACCAACAACTGAGGAGTCGCCGTCTTTTCATTTGGTCCAACGAGGTTTTTCTGGCTATGCAAAAGTAGAGAACAGAATCAAGAACCAAATTGCTGCAAGAGGAGTCCATGGAACACATGGTTATGAGTTGTTGCATCTTCCTGCGCAGAGAGCTTTCTCTGATGAGTCGAACAGAAGCTTTGCATTACCGTGAACTGGTTGCACGCTTTTCGGTGAAGAAGCCCACAGTAGAGACAATCGTTGACAACCTGCGGGAAGTGGAGACTGAGATTATTGCAGCTTACCACAACATGTTTGAAGCTTCCCTCATTGCGAGGCATTTGAATGACCTTCGCATTGTTGAAGGCGACCACTACCTCCTTTACCTGCGCAACCTTCCAGAGAAAGTTGCAGAGCATTGCCAGTTGACAGTGGGAACTGGTACAGTGGCGCAATTGTTGAGGGCAGCAACTGAACACTATGCCAGAAGCAGAGCCTCAGCGCCATTTGAGCGCACCCATGCAGTGAAGGACTCCATGCTTCAACTGTGGCAAGCCAGAACACTTGGCATCCAATTGTCCAAAGCCTCCCAAGTGCAAGCATTGTGGCAGGCCTGGTCACAGTGCAACTGACTGCTGGAAAAAGTTTCCCAACACGTCAGTGTACATGCCAGTTTGGTGCGGAAGCATGTCAGATACATGCCAGAAGATATGTCAGAAGACATGTCAGGCTTCACGGCAGGACAAAGGTCAGAACACATGCCAACAAGGACTTCAGAAAACATTCCGGAACATTCCCCAGCCTTTTATGATAGATGGTGTCTCAGAACGCAAACCAGACTTGATGCCAGAACAAGTGGTCAATCCACGTGTCAGCAGCGTTTGCTGTCAACACATGATTCTCCAAATCGCCTCTCAGGGTTGGAGTCACTCCAAATAGAATGTTTTCAGATTTTCAAGATGGGGGGTCGATACACTGAATGTCAATATGCTTGTGAGTTGCAACCCACGCAAAACTCTCCAGGTTGGGAATGCCTTTACTTTATGGTTGTTGGTGCTCCAGGTAGCGAGTAGATTTGCGACACCTATAATTTCTCATGTTTTGTTCTTATGTTCTAATAGTTCCTGGGTGTTCATTCCGAAGGAGTTGGTTGGCCTGAAAAGAAGGTGGTCACAACATGTGCAGGGCTCCAGGACCCTCAATGTATTTTGCCATATGTTTCGTATTTGAGTCCAACATGGGCGGTTTTTGAATTCAGGGGTCAATGTAGGTGATTCTCTATCGTCCCACACTCCACGTATGCAATGTAGTTACATAGATACATATGCACAAAGGCCTGTTGTGAGCGTGTGATTTTGGTGCACCCTTTTGCGTAGACAACAAACAAAGGAAAAAAATCCAGACTAGTCGCATCAACCAAGGACTCACCAATTATGTTTAAAATCATTTCCTCCGACTCATCCAGATTAATCCACATTAAATCTGACTAGTCTCAGTGATATCAGGCCACATTCATTTGTACATGTTTGGCTGTTCCAAATTATATAAATATAATATCATCCTTGCATCCTAGAATCCTAGAGTGTGAGATATGTTTCATATTTCATATCATGTTATAACCTGAGACCATGAGTATTAATTTGCGCACATCCTTGTGTGACAAACATGTCTGCTATCTCTTGGTGTGAGACATGGTTTAAGATGGTTTAAGGTTCAAATTATGAAATGCGTGTGCATGTACACACATGTCAGATGATGAGAACTGCTTTATAAACATCATATTTTGACATACATATGAGCTGCCATGCAGGGATGCACTTCTCACATTGACATCATAAGACCTGGTTTGCGCATAATTGTACTTTAACATACATTTGATCGGGTGGGATATATGGTTCGTATTTCCAACATTGACATGCAAAGCTACTGATGTGACATGATGAAGCTAATGTCAGATACAGTACACGCTGCTAATCTCATGAGAACTGAGAACTGGGCGACACACATCTCGTACCTAGACACGAACTTTCTAAGAGTGTAACAAAAAGTTTCATGTCAAAGCATCAAATGCATGAGATTCATTTGAGTGTGTCACAATATGACATGCAGAGATTGATGCTGATGATCTGATATGGGCACTGTTGCTTTCATTGTTGACATATGAACAACTTATCTCACCCCATGTTGAAATGCACATGCGTGTCACAGTTTGAGCTGCAACCGTGAATCATGCTTTGAAGTGAAAACCCGTGCATTCCCTGCTTCATGAAGTGAAAGTGTATCTCACACTGTGAGCAAGTTCACATGTGCAGATCCTTTTCTCATTCTCTGAAAATATCAGCATGCATCTCATAGTGTCACATCATTAGCTTTGCATTTCATTGTGTTAAATTTGAAGAAAGTATCTCACACGATATTTGATTGCACGTCTATGTCACGTCTATTGTGCTGCGCATGTCAATTCTCACGCCCTGGGGGGTGAGCATGTCCTGCATTCCATATTGTCGCATCTCAAAACATGAGAACTCATTTGTGCCGTAAGTCAGCACAATGTGAGATACATGGTTCAAGCTTCAATCCATGACATGACAAAGTGCTAATCTCAGAGTATGAGAGTTGATTTGTGCATCTCATACTGTGGCATACACGTGAACTTTATCATAGTGTGAGATGCATTGTTGGTATTTCAGTCCATGAAATGAAGAGGATACTGATGTGACAGTTGGCATGCATCTGAGCGTTCTCATAGTGTGAGATCAGTTGTTCATGTCTTAACCCATGAAATGCAAAGGTGTACCTCGCAGATCATGAGATTGATTTGTGCATCATATTGTGGCTTAATGTGGCATATGGAAATTCTCATCATGTGAGGTATCTTGTTTTTTACAATAATGACGCGCAAAATAGCTCATCTTAGGGCTTGATGGTTATATGTATGTGCCTCGCAAGATGAAATTACCTTAAGATGACATCAGACATCATCTCAAGGTAGCATCATTTGGAAATACAACCTTTTAATAATGGGCTACTAGAAGATCGATCATGATTAACCTTGTAAGAAGACACGTTCACAACAGTCCCTTCTAGTATGCATGTATGTAAGTATGGATGTATGTATGTATGCATGTGTATGTGAGTATGTATGAATGTATGTATGTATGTATGTAGATGCGTATGTGTTTGTATGTATCTGTTTATGTGTGTATGTGATGTGATGTGATGTGATGTGATGTATGTATGTATGTGTGTATGTATGTATGTGTGTGTATGATTATGCATGTATGTATGTGTGTATGTATGTATGTATGTGTGTATGTAGGTATGTATGTGTGTACGTATGTTTGTATGTATGTAGGTATGTATGTACGTATGTATTGTTGTATGTTGTGGTACGGTATGTATGGTATGTATGGTAAGGTATGTTATGGGTTTTATGTATGTATGCATGTATGCATACATGTATTAACGTTATGTAATGTAATGTAATGTTTGTATGTATGTATGTATTTTCCTAAAAGGTTCTTTTGTTTCTGCTGCTCTCAGGGTGGCCCTTTTGGCCGGTGCAATTTGCACCATGTCAGCCGCATCCAGTGCTCTAGAAAAAGTCCACCTCATGTATGTATGTATGTATGTATGTACGTATGTGTGTAAGGATGGATGCATGCAGGCATGTATGTATGTATGTATGTATGTATGTTAATGTATGGTAAGGTAAGCTAAGCTAAGATACGCTAATGCAATTTATTTCATTATGTAGCTGTATGTGTATGTGTACATATATACACACACATTATATACGCTTTGCATGTACATATTTTAGCATGTCTTCTTATCCCACCTGACATGGCTCGTGATCGAACGAGCCGCAGCTCAGAAAAAAAAGAACGCTCGAGCCACATCGGAGAGATTCGGTGTCAGGACATCATTTCCATCCCGCAGAAGCATCCGGGAATTCAGTTGTTGGCCATCAACTCCCTCTACGTGACGCGGTTTTGGAACGCGTCCGCGTTCGAGTTCGAACGAACGCGGAGGAACTCTCTCCTCTCCGCGTTCGAACTTGTTCACTTGGTCGTAATTTTTTTGGAGATCAACGACTGGGTGAGGCACTTGCGAGACTGAAACCAGGCTGATCGTTTGTGTGAGCATTGGTGATCAAGACAGGAAACTGTTTCAAGCCATGATTGATCACTCACCATAAGGTTGGACGGTTTGGGATCCAAATCATAGAGGAGGGTTCCGTGATCATGGTTTGACTGTGGGTCTGGTGTGTTTGGTCTGGTGGGTTGGCTGGTTTTTTGGGTTCTCCGATGCAAAATTCCTTACTTGGGACAATCAGGCTAGCCGCTAGCCGCTAGTTGGCTGAGACCGGTGACGTGTTCAACGTGCTCAGTACATCCAAGAGGAATCGCACAATAAAGCACATGGTGATCTTTTGCACCCAGGACGTGGCGAGATAATCATAAGTGCCAAAATGACGGTTTTCACAAGGCTTTGAAGATCATATACGTTTCCTGAGAAGATATGACTGGACCAGGGTCTCTGGTGCTTCTCCAGTTGTCAGAGTCTCCGTGGGTGATGTTGTGTCAGGGAAAGGAATCCATTCATTCATCATTTTTCACTACTATCGTTGCACTAGTCACTATTCACCTTTGAGGCCCAAAATGAGGGGATGCTGTGGTGTGTCAAAGTGGGATCAAGTCGGGGGGAGCCTAAATTACAGCGACCCTGAAGGTTTTGGCCTGCCGGAATTGGCCGAACCAGCTGCATGATCAAAAGATGTGCTCGCTGGAAACAGAGGAGCTGTTTGGATTGAACAACCAACAAGACAATACCGACAATGACGTTCTTTGTCGAATGTGCTGTTTGTTGCTTGACAAGGTGCCCAAAATCTATGTTCTTCAATCTCAGGTCTATGCCTACTCGGTTGATGCACTCATCATCATCGCTCCTCCCACCGTTCAAGAGCAGACTGGAGAAGCCTTAGGCCACACGGCGGTGTTTTTGGAGGTATTGACAAGCGAGGCTTGTCATACTCAATATCGACTCCGGTCGAAAACAGGACTTGACTTGATGTATAAGGCGATGTTGATGTACGGTGCCATGACGACTTCCCAGCCATCTGCCTACCTAGACCATTTGTCCGGGGTCTCCAATAGACTACCCAGCCCACGACTTATGGGCTTCCATTAGACACCCAGACAGGATGGTCCTGGAAGATTGGAGATCGAGAAAGCACCCCCCAACAAGCAGGCACTTATGGCCTTGCCTGTCAAAGACTGTATAGGAAAAAGAACAACAGATATTAACGTGTATTTACAATTCTTTTGGGCATGATCAGTAGCAGAATTTCTTCCAACTGCAGTTTCCCCCTCTGAATGTCAAGCTGCTCGGCTCTTCTGAATGGCTCGCGTTTTAACGCAAACTCTTCGCCTGAGACAGCCTGAGAGACTGGAAGAGCCTAGCAGAAGAGCCTTCCTCACCCAGAGAAGTAGAGCTGATGGGCTGGTTGTTCAAACCTTAAGATGCGAAGTAAGTGAAAACTAGGCTGGCCTTTGGCCCACTACTACAAGGCCATCCTATGGTACAAGGCGGTCCTACAAGGCGGTCCGGCCAGGCCATGGTCTTAGCTTTCTCTCGCCAAGGCTTGGAAAGCTATAAGAACCGCGTTTGGACACGTGTGGAGCAGCTGGGTCAGCCGGAGTCGTCTAAGAGTAGGTCGACCTTTTGGTGAGGAAGGTGAAGCGCGCGTGACTCCTGCGCCTCTCCTGGTGAGTGGAGAGAACCAGTTGGGCTGAAAACGCCCATCATTGATTCAATGGGTTTGGCAAACCGAACAACCATGCTTTAAGCTTTTTACAGCTACCAAACCGTCAAGAGAACGACCCTTGAAGGGTTCTTCATGGTTCTTCCCAGAAGGCTATAGGGGAACATGCCCTAGGGCTCCTCGCCTACCTTCTGAGAAGACGGTTGGGGCGGGTGCCATGGGGTCCAACCACCTTCTGAGGTTTCAGGGGCAGGAGCCCTAGGGATGTTGTAATATCGCCACCATGGTCCTTTCCTGTTCCCAAATGCTTTTCTGTTTGGTCGAGGACTCACCTGGTCTACGGTGCGGATCGGATCTCACTGGTCTACGGTGCTGTGGGGCGGATCCCACTGAAACTGGAAGACATTCTTGGATGAGCAACGTTGAGTAGCTAGCCAGGTCTCCTGGTTGGGTACAGTATAGCATAGTATAGCTACATGTATATATATATATATATAATGATGTTATAATGTATAGCTCGTTTGGACGGAGATGCAGGGAGTATCTTCACCGTCGTTCACTGTGAGTAGATAGACTATGAATGAATATGAGTGGACAAAAGAGTTCCAGCGCCGTTCTCCTTAAGAACGACGGTTCCATATCTCCTGGACCCTCCAAAGTACAACTATAGACAGTGGATGAGAATGGGACTTAATATCACATAATGATCCTGAAAAAGCAAAGAAACGCACACACACACAGTACTACTCATGTTCCGAGGTACTTTGCGACTCATTGTTACGAGTGCAATCAAAGAGAATCGAACGAGTGCGACATTGCTCTCCCGGGAAGGTTTTTTTAGCTATTTGGTTTTAAAGACTTGCTCGGCTGCGGCTGAGGCAAGTCGCACACTTATTTGCCCATGGCACCGATTCACTCTACGTTTATGAGCCACGTGGCCGCCGTTTCAGCGCCGCTTCCTCACTCGACCGGATGAGTCGTTCAGCGAGGTGTTTCGCTCATCCGGTGTGAGGTGTTTCCCTCGTTTTCGCCGAGGGATGGGGGTTTTGGGGATCGGCTGAGCGTTTCACTTCTTACCACTTCAAGGTGTTTTGATGCTTTTGTTTGAGGTTTCTGGCCTTCAGTTTGTGTCCACCATAAACCTTTTTTATATACATCATGTTTACGATCTATGGGTTGCTGGATTGCAATTAGAGGAGACATCCCCAGTCAAGAAGCAACAGGTCTTCTTGAAAACTGACCGTGGCAGATGATTTGCGACATGTTTCGCTTCCCCCCCTTTGCACCCGAAGGTTGCGCGAACAAGGTCTGCAAAATGCATTGGTCGCACCACCACTCCATTTGGCATGTTGCATGTAGGTTGTCATTGCTGCCCAACCTTCAATCATGTGACCTGAACTGTGAAACCCACCGTGGCGCCCGCGCCCGCGCCTCCAACCTGGCCGCCGCGGAACCCCCCCCTTCCCTCCCCCAACACCCCTCCACTCTCCGCTTCGTCGGTCGCTCGCGAAGGGCTTGGTTCTGAGGCCCGAAGGCTTGAAAGGAGTCGATGCGCAATGGCTTGCGGAGGTGGTTCACGTGACTCGGACCGGACTCTTCGTTCCGATGGGGCTTGGACGCGGCCGCGACGCGGCCGGCGGGTTGGAGTGAGGATTGAACAGGGTGGGCTGATCTTTGAGTTCAGATGGAGTTCTTCTTCTGAGTGATGTTCTGAAGCAGCATGTAACATTATGAATCAAAACGAATCAAACCCTTCCGTCTCCAGAGCGGCATCTCCAGGCGTGGCACCCGAATGCAATCGCGGGCGCCCTCTGTATGGTGGTTTGATATGGCACCTGGAGCCCCAAATCCTGGTGGGTTGACATCCGGCATAATTATAGAGGAATCGATTCATTTGATCCGTGGTCAACCAGGGTTACAGGGTTTTGACCCACATGCCATATACTTGTACCTGGATCATTTGTTCCGGATCACCAATGGTCCAGCCCATTGGACCTGACTAGACAGGAGGATCCAGCCGTCACTCTTGACCTTTTTGGTGGCAAAGGGTCAATCGGAATGAAACCATGGCGCCAGTTGAGATTGGCCAATTGGTCGACATGCTAAGGGTTCTGTCCTTGGTTCACACCTCACTACCCTGGTGGGACCGGCCCTGCGTCCCTACAGCTTTCCTGTGGGAGCCGAATCAAATAGATCATCCTCGCATATCAACCTATGCGATTCTGGAGTCTTCCGTGTCAAAAGTTTGGGTGACTTGCGAAATCCGTCAAATTCAACACCTCTTCAAACTGTGAGGGGCTCTTGAGCACTTCTTCAACCTCCAAGGTGTCTTCCCACTCTGATTCTTCCAGCCCCTCAAAACCGCCCTGACCCCAAACCCGCTGCACCAACCCCCCCGCGGTCCAAACCCGCCGCACCAACCCGGCTGCACCCAACAAAAGCCGTCCGCGGCCGTCGCGCCAACACCGGTCGCGGCCGAGGTCTTTGCGGGTCAGACCACCTGCTGCGATCTGAGGTCGGCGGGTGGCTGCCGCGGTGCGACGAGCGACGGAAACGAAGCCGAAACCCGCGGGAAACGAGCGACAGAGTTCGCGATGGATGGGTCAAGTTCGGTCCGTGGGACAGTATCCCAGACCATCATAAACCATCCATATAATTACTGTGTGGTCTATTTAGAGAGGCTGGGGTGCTTGAAAAGGGGTCAAGCATATTCCATACAAGGATGGTTTGGGGTTCCTCTATGGTCTGGGGAAGCCCGGAATGGTGGAGCAGATGGACGGGTGTGGACCGGGACGCCGGTGGATTTCTCCAGCCACCTGACCGATCATCACCCACCGATCGATTCGTCCGAGATCTTGGGGCGATCAGAACTGATCGGAAGACAACCTGTGCAGATCGGAGCACTGGGATCTGGTCTATACCACGACCGTCTCAGTTCGTTGCCTTCGGAAAATGGGACAGGATCCGAACAAGAAAACCAGGCTTCGAGGGTTCAGGTATATACATGCAGTGCGGTGATTCTTTTGGGCAAATCAACATGCAACTCAGCCATGTGGAAGAAGAGTTGTTTAATACGTTCCCGCAGTGAACCGGGGTCTTCACGTTGTGGCCTTTCCAAACCTGGGAATCATGTGTTTTCACGTTGCAACAAGTCACATGTCAATTGCGCTGTCTTTTGTTGGGAGCAAACATGATGGCTGTCTCATTGAAACTCGGTGTCACACCACATGGAAGGGGGCTCTATGGGGTCCCTGGAAGGTGCCAATGTGTGCCTGTGTGCCAATCAGCTCTCCAAGGGAGTTACTGTAATCATCAACTGCCACTGTGTGGACTTTGGTACAAATGCAGTGATTCTGCTTGTTGCTGTGGGACACGCTGATGACAGACATGTGATGTGAGTATGCATCTATGGCCCCGCGCCTCAGTCAACATGTGTTTGTCCAATTCACGCATAAATACGATTCAAGTGTTTCCTGAGTGTGCGTCGGGTCAATGCTTCTTTTTCCCGAAGTGCATCGTTTCCCCGGCCGGGCCCAAGCCCCTGGCGCAATGTGTGTATGCCAGGCCCCCGTTTCGGGGTGGTTAATGGATACCCCTTAACCTCTATCAGCAGCTATAATTGGACACAAACCAGGGGGGGCCCTGGTGTGTGTGTTTTCGATGGAAGATCGCATGGGTGGTTGGTTGAAGCCCGCCCACGGCACGGAGTCGGGGGTCGGGCTCCCACCAAGCCAGGCACGAGAACTTCGATGTGGCTCGGAACGTCAGCCACGCCGCCGGGGTTGGTTTCCGTGGAAAGCAGCGTAGTCAGGGAGGTTGTAATACAGCAAGACAAGATCATGTAAATTGTAGTATAGTTGGTGATGAACATATTGAAACGCTTGGTGGCGTACACCACTTCTGAGATCAAATAGGTCAACAAATTATCTACCTTAGATGGTCAGCCAGACCATTTTAGATCTGAAATCACTCCTGTAGTCTCTTTCCCCCGGTGTACGAAAACCTTGGACTCCGCGGTCTGCGAACGTGAGTGACGTTGCGTTTCACATCGGGGAGGGGGCAGGTTGACTGGGACGAACGACGATCCCAAAATGTGTTCACTGGATCTCCCAGTTGCAACGGTTCTAGAACCTGAGCCCGGCATAGAGTCGCGGCCTGTAGACAGGCAGTGACCTGAAAAATCGGCGGCAAGTGCACGACTCAATTTCGTTTTGGTGAAGCTATTGGAGGTGTTCACGATCAAGCCACAAACAGGGAAGTGATTCTTAAGGTCAAGTCCTTCAATTTGGGATCAGGATGCGGTCGTCCCCCCAAGCCATGTAAAAACAAGGTCACTGTTTGAGACTGAAGGTGGATCCTGCCTTGGTCCTTGGTGTTCGATCCATTTGGATCTTTGAAAGAACCACCTGCAGGATCAGTATAGAGTGCATGAACCACCTTGGAATCATGTATATGATGTGTTTACTCCTCTCTGAGAGCCCTTTTTATTGCACGGGCTGTTCGTTTCATGTTCCTTTTGGCCAGTCTTTGGGTATTACTTCTAAAGACCATCCAATACATCTCCAATGCAGTCAGTAGATATCCTTGAAGCGTTTTGGGGCTTCATTTCAACCCACTAAACATGAACTGTTGGAGCATGATGGAAAGTTTGGTCAGCTGCTGATGTTTTTCAGACTGACCGTGTCAGGTGCCAGTTGATCAACGATTCACACGATTGTTGAGATGTCAGCCTGGAACCTAACCATCATCATCCACTGGGCCCTGGAAATAGGATATACCTTGGGTCTGTCCTAGAAATCCAGTAGAGCCTTCAGGAAACAAAAACATCGCTTTCTTGTTGAACTGTCGGCCTTCTCAGGCTTTAGCCCTCATCATCCACTAAACCCCTGGGTCTGTGCGTCGGAGCAAGTCTGTCGTCGTGTCGCCGGTCTTCCTGGCGAGGATTCCCCAGGGAAGAGATGGAGGACAGGTCCTTTTTATAAGGCGGACAGACATCACGTTATCCCAGCGGATCCCAGGCAAACCACGTTTATATAAGGAACCAGGGATTCGTTGATTCGTTCGGTCTATGGTTTTAGTCGAACTGGAACCACTGGTTGCCAGCTCTGGTGGTAACTGGATGCCCTGGGTATGACTCAAGCATTGGGGCCAACTTCAAAGGAATGGTGTGAATTAGACGATTGGCTCGGAAAGAGTAAGGTTATGATAACTCCATTCCTGGTGTTCAACTTCTTCCGGTGGCCATTTCCCTGTGCTCAGGTGTGCGATCGAGAATCCCTTGTGCTGCCCTTACTGGGGCTTTACTACAGGGTGGCCGCCGCCGAACGTCGTGCCTAGCTCAGCGGGGACCGAGGGTTTGGAGCTGTGGTGACCTGAAGTTGGGGTTGGATGTGGCAGTTGTTTCCTTTCAAAGAAAAGCAGGAGATGTCCGTGTAGCCTCCCTGAGGTGCTTTTTCAGTGAGTTTTGGGGGACATTTGCATCTGATGATGTCTCGAAGCGGTGGACACAGCCTTCAGGGTCGAGCACTGAAGATAGGTAAAGAAGTCGTTAATTCCAAGGACCCAAGAAAGAGCCATGGGTAGAACCCACTCCGAGTCCGTTCTCCAATCTCCATGGCTACTCAGAGTTTGCTTGGCCCCGCAGTGGGGGGGTCCAGCCAGGTGGGTGAAAGGAAGGAAGCTGAAGGAATCTGGAGAGTGGTGCCACTCCCACCTTTTTAAATGAGAGTGGTGCTTAAAGTGAGCGTTTCTGAGAAATCAGAAATCGCTCTTTCAAGATCACTCCGAGCTGGGCACCTCTAACATGCTGCTTGTTTTTCCAGAAACGCTGGACATCGTGGGACTCTGTTTTCGGGCGGCGCGTCCACTCGCTGCGGCGAAATGGCGGCTCGCTGCAGCTCGCTCAGGTGGAGTGGATCAAAACGAAGGTACAAAGACACTTTATGACATGAATCTGGGCTGTCGGACAGGGCCGAGGGGCCAGGGCCGAGGGGCCAGGGCGAGCTGACGCCGGTTGCGGATCGCGGGTGGCCGATGGTGGCCGATGCACTGAACGATGTGCAGCACTCTCAATCAACATGCTGCGTTGGACGAGCTTGTGATTGAAGAAGACGCAACATCTTTGTAATCTTGTGTATACTATACACACCTTCATTGACCGCTTGCACTTGAATCACCCGAATTGAAGTTTGGTCAATAGATATTCCCAACAATTACGTGAATTGCCTAGATGTCTATGGTCACTGCGCAGGTCTATGGATGAACACAACAAATGACCCAGCGAAGAAGAGCTTCGCGGGTCTATAAGCCAAATGACCTGAATGTTCCTACATGTTCCTACATGACCTTAGTTCTATAAGCCAAATGACCTGAATGTTCCTACACATGATCATCCAAATTCTTTGACGAGCGTTTGGTTGAGGCCGTGCCATCTGGACAAAATGTCCTCTCCCAGGATCCCTCGACAGCAGGGTTTCATGACAGCTCGGACTTGGCGCAGACCATTGACTGATTGAATGGTATGTCCTGAACCACCGAGCTCTTGGTCCCAGCAGATTTTTCAGCTACGCCCCAAGTCACGTTCACTCTTTGAATTCATTGAACTCCACTCCCAGAAGGTATTCGCCCACGTGGTGCCCACCACCGGGGAGGAACACCGCCGGCTGCGGGGGGCGCCACGGAGATCGGTGTGTGTTGAGGGTTCTTCGAACTGGTGAAGAAGTCACCAAATCAACCGCAGCTTGGTGCTTAGACTAAGCATCGAGCTCTGGTTTCTTAGTTGGTCAGATGTACAGTGCAGACCAATCATTGCCACCAGCGGCCAAAAGCTTGTTCCAAGGATTGAAGCAAATCGGGAGAAGATTTTCCCGCGAAGCTTCGATTATGCATGCGTCATCGATGGACAGGAGGCCGCCATGGAATTTACTGCCGCCGGGTCGCGTGGTGCTGCCAGTGGGTATGGTTTGTTCTTTCACAAAAAAAAGAATGTGTGTTCATTGCCCATCAACAAGCGATGTGACCTCGACCAACATGGACTAACACACTGAAACCACTACCCTACTGTTGATGAAAGACTGCACCTCTCCGGATGCCGCCGCAGCTTCTTGTGTTTTACCCCACTAATCAGCAACCATCTAGGATACCAAGTACAAGTTGTCCTGTCCAAAGAGATATGTTACAGGCCAGTCAAGGGGATCGAGAAGGTACTTAGACAGGGACTCGACTGGCTCAATTTACACACCTTCATCGTTGAGTCTTTCTGAATCCTACGACCATTGATTTAAGATGATTTGAAGGGTCCTTCCTGAACCACCATTCTTTGTCCTAATGGATATTCATTGATAATTGATATGTTATTTAAGAGGTCCCCAGGGCCAGGGGACCAAGTCGAATCGGACCAACCTCCGACCGCAGCAAGGTGACCCGGCTCAAGCCCAACCGACCCGACCCACCGGGCCACACGAGGGTACGACTGGATCCTGAGGGATGGGAACTGGACATGTGTATTTGGCGTATGTATTTAGAAGACATGTGGTGACCGACAAAGGGTCAATGTAGGTGATTACATGTTATTAGCTATACAATACATATGTAATATATGTAATATATATATATCCTATATATATAAATGGATTGTTTGGACCGTACCCGTGGGTACCGGGTACGGGAAAAACTGTTCGTACGTTCAAATCAACCACACGGAAGAATAACCTGTTTGTTTGCAGGCGTTGAGGAAGAGAACTCTCTTTGGAGATCTACTGGAACGTGTGGACAAGCACCTGGCACAATTTGACGTCGCACCTCGGCCGCGAGGGGTGGGTTGTGCAGGCTGCTGGCTAAAAAAGCAGTGGCAGTTCCTGGGGAAACAACACGTGTTTCCCCAAATGATTGTTTTCTTTTCTTTTCCCATGTTGTTTCCCCATGTCCAGTTTGCACTTTACTAGGTGTGACTAGAGAAGCAAACCAAAATGGCGTTATATAGGTTGAAGCACCCTTACAGTTGTTACACATCAATACGATATAATACGATCTTTGCTCCCATCCACGCTTTACCACAAAACAAAGCACACCAATAGCCACAGCGTCCTGCTACCGCCCAAAGACATAAAACAATAAGACACACGTCATGAACTTGTCTCCCTTTTTGGTGAATTGGTTTCCCCACTAACCATGAACTGGTGAAACAATCAATTATCCATATATATAGAGAGAGAGAGACCTGGACCCCCAAATAGATAGAATATGGTAGAATATGAGAAAAAAAGTGGATCCCTTTATAAAAATGTACATTGGAAACCGTGCCAACTATCTATTTGGGGACGACTATATCTATATCAGGTTCTAACAATCACCGGACCGGACCCAAGCCCACTGTCTCCGTTTCGCAGGCGACCATTCACGATCGGATTCACCACCAGAGTTCCCTCGCCAGCTCCGCGAAGTCGCTCCGCGCTAGCCCTGGTGGCACCTTGGGTGAAGTGACGGGCTGAACAGGGGGAAGGACTGGGGGAGGAAGAAGTGAATATTGGTGGACGTCCACCCATATGCCATGCAGATGTGTTTTTTCCCACCTGCCAGGTGAGGGTTGTTAGATCTTATCAGAGCTCTTCTCCTTTTCTTCTTCTCCTCCTCCTCCTTCTCCTCTCCTGCTCCTCCTAGTCCTCCACGCCAGCAAGTTTCAGCAAGCACCAGATGGCAGTGGGCACTACCGGACCTCAACAGCAAGTGCCAGATCACGGTTGGCACGAACGGACCTCAAGCTCCCGATCGCAGTGGGCCCTAGCACTGCAAGCGCCAGATCGCAGTGGGCACTGCCGGACCTCAACGGCCAGCTCCCGATCGCATTGGGCACATGCCGGACCTCAACCGCAAGCGCCAGATCGCAGTGGGCACTCTCGCTATTAGGTTGGAGGCCATCGCTTCTAGGTTGGAGGCCACTGCTTGTAGGTTGGAGGCCATTTATTTTCCTTCGCCCCCCGCGAGCGATCGCGCTCCACTTCGACGAAGAACGACGCGCTCGACTCGTCGACTGCACTTGTTGGGCGCTGCGTCCAAGGCCGATGCTATGGCGGCGTGGGATCTGCCACGTTGAGTTCCTTCGACGATCACTCGCCACAGTCTCCGCAGGCGGGGCCGGAGGATTCGGAGGAGGACAGAGCAGAGGATGGGGTCCAATGTTCTGAAGAGGACAGAGCACCATGTGTTGCCATGTTGGGGTAGGCTTTGATTCACAACTGTGGGGAGTTCCCTTGTCCAAGATCACCAGCAGTGACAGTTATTTGAATTAACTATATTAATATACTGTATAGTAATGATAATGGAAATATATACAAGCGCATGCCCCATACGACATGAAGCTAAAATTAGAGCCCTTCCAAAAGTGATTCTTCAGGTCTTGAGGGCAGAGCCACGTTGTTGTTATGCAAAGTGAACCCTAGCCTTCCATTCTCCATTGAGTCAATAGCCGCATAGCCTGAATCCCGAACGGTTTTTGTTTTGCCAAAAATGTACATCCTAAAAAACATTCTAGAGAATTGAGCATCTCTTTGTTGATGCTCGTGTTTTGACCGCAAATCCGCTGGGTCACGCTACTAGCAGCAGGCAGGCTTCGGCATATTTTTAGGGTAACAAAATTCGAGCCATGGCCATGCCAGTGCAAATCTAGACCACGCAGAGGTCGCTGATGAGTCCAAAGTTCCAAAGGATGAATTGTTTTGTGATGAAAAGACATGTTTTTCCCATGGTGTGATTGAACAACCTTGGGTTGAAGTCAAGTATCAGGACTTTTGAGGCGGTTTTGGGACTGTGAACAAGACACTTGATTCACAAAGGAAGAAGAAACTGTCCACAGCAAGAAACCTTTTGGGTTCAATCTTTGGGGACTTTCCAAAGCTTGTAATAAGGTCCTCCTCCTGGTGATGTTTTTTCTTTCGAAGTCGTCTCCTTCGTGAAGGAAGGGATGGCAGTTGGCCCCCTCTTCCGATCCGACTTCCGATCCGACTTCTGACACCTGTGGTAGTTTCGGTCTGTGGAAGACTCAGATGTGCTACGAACACAAGTGCTCCAGATGTCCCCTTGCATCCAATATGTTCCAGCTAGTATATTGGAGGTGTCCCAGGGAAGTTGCAACAGAGGGTAAACAATTCTCACTATCTCTAAAGGCCTGCAACCTAACCATCATCATCCACTCTTAGAGGGAATAGGATGGATATACCCAACCAGGTCCTTCTACCCTCCTGCAAGGTTGGACCAATGAGTCTGCTTCAGATGGAGATGTCCATGTTGGAGCTTCCTGCACTGCAGGAGGTGCTTTCCCCGGGGCGCGACCGAATGCGATTCTGCTTCCAGCTGACGAAACCTGGTGGTTAAGAAAAAAGAACACGACTGGATCTGATTTTCCTATGGAAAACAACAAACCGTTGCTCGTGGTCCCCGATCGGTGTCCAACCTGTACAGTCGAGACCCAGTCGAGACCCTCTTCAGGAGATCTGTTGGAGTGGGTTGGATCTCCATTTTTCCTCAAACAGAGTGTGGCAACACTAGGGGTTCTTAAGGTAGTTGTTAAGGACGGGTGTCTGATCGAGGTGTCATCGGGGCGTCCGTGTAATTCGCTGCTATTACAGTACATTCATTCACCGAGATATGATGGAAGTGCATTTCGACTGCGCAGGCTCGCGGAAACTGGTGGGCCGGCGTGGGCGCTTTTCAAGACTGCGCTCTCATTGTGCTGCTGTGCGCATGTTCGGACTTTTCTGATCACTTTTCTTGGCAGGCGCAGGGGAAACCTCGTGTTTTGGTTGTCTAAAGTCGACTTTTCGTGACAGGTGCCGGAGTGGTTTTTTGTCGATGAGCAGATTTCGTGGCAGGCGCAGTACTTTGGACACGGCGATGGTCTTCGGCGTGCTCTGATTTCGTGGCAGGTGCAGTGAATCGTGAGTTTTGGACATGTGGCTCATTTTCAGAAGTCGGATGAAGGCGGGCGAAAGCTGCATGTTGGCATCTTGATGTAGTCTTTGGCAGTGCTCTTGGTGCAAACGTGATGTGAGCCTTCAAGTGCAGATTTCGTGGCAGGACCAGCGCTTTGTGGACCTTCTGTGGAATTCGTGGCAGGCGCATGGACCTTGAAGTGCAGATTTCGCGCCAGGGGCTTTGTGAACCTTTTGGCGTGGTTTTCGTGGCAGGCGCACTTTGTGGATCTTGAAGTGCAGATAATTTCGTGTCACCTGCAGCGCTTTGTCGGCCTTGACGTGGATTTCGTGGCAGGCGCAGTGCTTTGTGGATCTTGAAGTGCTTTCGTGGCAGGCTAGTGCAGACATCTGTCTCCACCACCATCACCACCAAATCATCACCATCACTATCACCACCTTCATCACCCATCACCATCACCACCTTCATCAGCGCCACCACCATCACCAACTCCACCACCACCATCCGCACCATGACCACAACCACCACCATCATCACGGGTCTGAGAAATCCAGCGGAAAAGGACGCTTCGATGATCACGTATGAAAGAGAGAACTGCATTTGCTGCAATTTGGTGGAAAAATCAGCAATATATCTTGGGTAGGCCTTGAGGACTCAGAAGAGAAATCATCCGGAAGAGCAAGATACCTTGGCAAATGTTTTGCATTGCAAGTAAGAAGGGGAGCTTTGGGGTTCAAAACATTCAGAATTCGTTGGAATGGTGTATGCGTGGCAGGCGCGGCCTAGACTTCGCGGGCGTAGATACCAAACGCTCTATGTATGGCGTAAATTGACAGATAGATCGGTAGGTAGTTAGGTAGATGGATAGGTAGATAGGTGGATGGATATATAGATGGATGGATAGATGGATAGACTGATTGGTGGATGGATGGATAGACAAATAGATGATGAATGTCTGGAGATAAATAGATATAGATACTAGGGTGACCACTGGAACACCTCAATCTAAACCATCGTGTTTTGGGGATGCCATTCCTTCGGAACTGGCCGTTCCTCGCAGGTCACGGGCTCCAGCACCGAGGTGGGCCTTTGACTTCGGTGGGTTACTCCGTAAAACACATTGGGTGGCGAACTCCACCTCTGGGTCATGGCACTGGGGGACTCCTTGGTGGACCACGGAGAACCTACCAAGGGTGAAAAAACAGGTTCCGGGTTCGGTGTCAATGGTCTTCTATTTTGGGGGGTCACTAATTGTAGGATATGATATACCAGTGGCCCTCGAACCCATGAAAACTCAAGGCTTTCACACAAAAACCCTGTTTTGTTGCTAGGGAAAACCACATCTTTGATGGGCCATGTGGGGCCACATGTCCACAAACTGTGGTAGACTTTGCTGGTGCCTTGGCAGGGTTCGCCATTTCCACCAAAGTTGTGGCACAAAGAAGCTGCCACAGGAGAGACACCGAGGTTGAACAGCGGTCTTTGCAAGGCCAAGCTAGTGGCTAAGGCGGAGGAGTCATGTCTCAGGTCCTATCTCGATAGCCTTTTTTAAAGGTACGCCGTGGAAGATTAATATAGAACCTGAAAAACCACTGGATTGTAGAGGAAAATAGTCTTTCCAAAACCCATTTCAGGTTCCATGGTAATCTTCGGGGTGTAGATTCAGTTACAGTAGGGTTTAGGGTGTGTCTATCTTTTTGTGGTATCTACCCCCCAGCACACGCTCTCCTAACATCTCCTAACTATATAGATGAACCCCTGCTTTGGGTCCTGAACTGTTTGACTTTCTGTTGGACATGTTTTAAACCGGAGTGAAACGGCGTTCCGACCTGACTGTTGTCGAGTGCGCACCCACAGATGATCCAGCCCCAGAAGTTATGGGGAACATCTGCAGGAAATGCATGCAGTTCTGGGGGTCAAAATCATGGTTTCCTGAAACCAATCCATTGATCTAGGGGGGCATCTTCCTGCTTTCTCGGCCATTTTTTGATTTCTTCTGGGCAACCTCTGACTTGTGTAGGTTGAAGAGCATCTTTGATGGAGGCAGGAATTGGCACGTCTTGTGGGTCCCGTGACTGCACGTCTTGTGACTTCACTGTCCCACCCGATGTGGCACCCATGTGCCAAACGTGACGCCACCAGTGACGCGTCTTCCTAGTCCCACGCTCCGTGAAATCGGTCAATGCGTTTCTCGTTACGATTTGTTCACTTCGCCTGACACGAAACAAACATGGTGCGTGTGTCGCACGTTTGTGGACCCCTTTTGGCGGACCCCGAAAGCGAGCTGACTCCGTATTCCGTTGACTAATCCAAAGAATATATCTTCAATTAATAAATAGAACATGAAAGACTTGTACAAGGAGCGTCCATCAGTAACGTTGAAACCTTTTTGGGGCTCAATCCTCAAGAAGGTCTGCTAGAGGGTCTTGGTTCACCCCTACATTGGCCGGATCAATGACCTCAAACGGTATTTGGATGTCCTAGGCTTCCTGGCCCGCCATTGATTTCATAGCTTTACCGAACAACCATGGTTTTACCACGGATTTTACGCTACAAAGTAGCCAAGCCAACCTTTAAGGTCTGAATGGTCGAACGGAAGGCGTCCGGGACGGTGGTGGATATGTGGCCTGCCGCGAAGGTTCAGGTTCCTACTGTTCACCAACCTGAGAAGCTGGCTGTGAGAAACCAATGCTCCCCCCACCAAACCATGTCACTTTTCGTCTATTCTGTGTCTATTCTATTCATGTTCTCGGGTCAAGCAGGCAAAGCGCAGCCTGCACAGCCGTTCGGAGTCACATTCGTCATGTGACATGTCTACAGTTTGGCCTTCTTTTGTTTCTCATCTGGTTTAGAACATATATGTAAGACACGGCAAAGAAGCGAACCAGCTTTAGCAAATCCTATTTAACGTATCATCACGGTCGAAAGAAGGACCAGACCGTTCGCACCGTGGGCACCACCTCCGCGAGTTCGTTCGCACTCGCGTGGGTCCTCGGTTCGGAGCGACCAAGGGTCCAACGACCTCAGGAGCGAAGCCACAGAGCTGCGGGGGGCGAGTGACGGTGCAGTCGGTGCCACCGGTGCGAATGCACATGGCTCTCTATCCTGGCTGATACGCCCGGGTCTCGCATCCCATGACCTTTTTCTATAGACACTCCCACTCCGGTATTTGGCATATTTGTGCATTAGACCGATTTTCTTCACAGCATGCAGCATGATGTTGATTTGGTTGATCAACGATTCTGCTTTGCGAATTCCTGGGGGCCAGTTCGGGTGAACCCCGGTCGGCTTGCGGTTTCACCCTGCGAAGCCGGTCGCCGACCGAGTCTGCGACAAAAAACCTGCAACGGTCCGTGACTGGTGCGACCGGCTGCGGCGAAGCGCCGCGGGGTGGTTCGCGCCGAGGGGTGACGAGCGATGAAGCGAATCCCTGGAGCTTCGGGGATTCAGACCATGGGAGAGCGGGGCGGTTCGCGAGAGCTCGAGAGCTGGGTGCTTCCCTTTCTCGCGAGCCAACGGACGGATGAAAAAGACCAGGCATCCTTTTATCATATGGCTGTGGGTCAAAACACATATCCCCAAACCAGCATAGGTTGACCTCCTTAATAGTCCTTTCTGTTTGTCCAACAATAAACTTCCACGTCGTCCGGATCTTCAGGGCTGGGGTTCATTTTCTGGAATCGGACGTGGACGGCTATTGGGGTGTAGGTTTTCAGGGGTGAGGATGTTTGTTGGCCGATGAGCCCTTTAGGAGATGTCAATCGGTGTCCAAACCGCAAAGCACAAGATGCACAAGCAATGGTTGCTGCTGAATTGCATACGCTAGATCCACCATGGAAGTATTTACAATTCCACTACAATGCTAGCTTGTACATTGTATGCTCCAAGTTGTAGGCAGGCACTTTCTGAGAATCATCCTGCGAGCTCAGCCCAAACCTGGATCTGTTCTTCCGCTCGTGCATGCTCCATGTCCTATGTCTTTGCATCTTTAGGTGCTTGGTGTGTGAAGCGTCTTTGGGTGTCAGAATAGGGAGACCTGCCAAAAAGACCCCCCTTTTTTGTTGGGGGCTAAAAGAAGCCAAAACCCATTGGGCCAGAGGTGTCTCCCTATTCTACATGCCCATTGACTCCCGAAGGTGCAGAGCCGTTCCCTTTCCTCAGGGACTTCATGAAGTGTCCCAAAGATGGCATGATCCAGTGAATCTCTCTAGAAGGAAGGAACCCAAAGCCACGACGTTTGGGCTTAAAGTCTGTTTTGCCAGTTGTGGTGATGTGTCATAGTACACGTGTGTCTTTTTGCTGGCATGCTTCTCGAAAAGGCCATCTCAGACCCGCACGTTGCTCGTTGCACTTCATGAAGTCTTACTTCCCAAGGGATGGAAGTCGGCCGGTGCAGCTGCCTCAAGTCAAGTCGGACATGTCCAGTTCTTGTTTCGTGGCTTTACATGTTTCTTTTCAGTAGCTTAGAAGATTGGGCTGTATGGGACATGACCCTCAAACAATCACTGTTCACCCGTCCATGGTCACTACCGAAAAAAGCGATGAACCGTGCGCAGCTGCCTGCCGCTTCGGCGGCCTGCCACATCCCTCAATTTCTTGCGACCGGATCGCCTAAGGCGTCGGCGACAGTTAGCATAGATTCTGGGAAAAAGAAAGTCCTGAAACACCGCAGATCTGGTCAATCCCCTTCTTCCAGGGGGTTGAACTGGGAGGTCTCCCTACTTAATGCACACCCAGCCTGCTGTTTTTTTTGGAGTGGCACGGGATTTACTGTTGATGAGTCTGTTTGGCTGGTTTGGGGAAGGTTTGCGACTTGCGGGTTCCATAGTATGGTTCCGTAGAAACTGACGCATCAACGCACGGTTCAACCGTGCATGGAAGTCATTTGGCATTTGCCATCTCATGTTGAGAGCGAATGAATTACTCAGAGAATCATCCAGGATTTCGAACTGGAGGGTGGGGCCTGGGTACCCGTTCGCATTGTCCATTTGGGGTTCGAACCTGTCCCGAACACTCCATGCATGGAAGATATGCCTACCGTGGTGGTCCCCAAATAGATAGAAACCATAGTGAAACGGTTTCCATTACATTTTCTACGTGGGGATCTACGAACTTCAATAGACATAGGAGTTTTTTCTACCCAGACACTCCATGGGACTGGCATATTGACCGATCAGGCCAGGGGGTGGTTTTAGGGGTCAATGGGGCGGCATATCTGGCAGTCCCATAGGTCGTGTCTGGGTTGTAGATACCTTAGGATCCAAACAACCTCATGCCCTATCTGGAAGAAAGCCGGTTGATCTCGTTTGTGTTCCCATGGGTCGTGTCTGGGCATTGACCGTCTCGCTCTTCTCACCGAGGTCTGTTTCGCCCTCCAGGTCCCCAACCGCTGGAAGCCGATTTGCAGTGCCCCAGGGCCGGCGCTCGCTTGGACCTCGGCCTCGGCGGAGCCCAGCCCAACGGGGTTTGTTTGATACATGCCATTCACTGTGTGTGTGTCTTTTGGTGTGTTTTCGATTCTTCCTGCCGCGCACGGTTTCAGGGACTCCCTAGTTCACACACCATGTGGTTTTTCAGGTGGTGTACATCAGAACTGGTTTTTGAGGACCACTTGAAACTGCTGGGGATGGACTTGGGGACCAGAATTCCCTTCTAAGGAGGGTTACACGTAATGCAGTTACTTCCCAAGATTGAAGGAGAGCAACTATGTTTATTTTTAGGTTGAAGAAGCCTGAGGACTGTTGACATCTCGTGTTCATGGTGCTGTTTACCGGAAAGCTCCTGCAATATGATGTGTCGTAAGGAACAGCTACCAATATCATCTTCCACGGCGTCACCTTCAACACACTTCATCTTCCACATGATCGCCATCACCACCTTCAGCAGCATGTTCATCATGTTCGTCGTCACCATCATCATCATCATCATCATCATCATCATCATCATCATCATCAAGTCCAGAGCAGGTCGTTCCAAAGCCAAGCCCTGCTCAGCCAAGCCCGGTCCCGTCACCAGCACCTGATGTATCCTGATGGCGACGGAGGGAAGGGTTAAGACATTCCAAAACCCTCCGTGGTCACCGTGATTTTGCTGCCAAGGAAGCGTGAAATCTTCATCTCAACTCCACATGTGATTCCAAGAATGGCTTAGTCACACGTTGGGTCCACGAAAAATTGGGGGGTTCGGCATGTGTTTTTCTCGTTTATGTATGTTCGTTTCGCTGGTACTTTTGGAGGTACTTACGGAACATCAGCAAGTCTTTGGTGCAAGCAGGCGTGACAGTGCCTTGGCAGAGGCACTTGGAAGAGATTTTGAGCCGAAATGTGGGCCGTTTGTTTGAGTCGAGACGGTGCAGATGTCATGCAGATGGTGGAGGAATAAACGTCCCCATGTGGTCGCGACGGTTTTTCAAATTTGGGGATTATTGCCAGTCTACATGATTGTTTGGGAATGTGAATGAGTCAAAACATTCACAGGAATGTTGAATGATTTGGTATTTAGGAACATCTAGAGGAGAGGGTTGATGTTGTAATGCAAAACAGTTTAGAATTGGGAGGATCTATGGATGCAGGAATGCAGTAAATTCACATCGGCAGAGCTCAATTACACTGGTGTGCTGGTTGTCGCGCGCACACACACACAAACGGAAGTACACAACCCTCCCCTGTTTGATAGCTGGATATTTGTGTTTCCCAATTCCACCACCTGTTTATCGTTTGGTGTTCTCTGCATTTGTATTGTACTGTGTATATATATAATATATATATAGTATACATAGTATATCACACATTAATAGGGTTTGTAACAGCCGGTAAACAAGAACGTCACTATTTTAGAAGACAACGCCTTTACTAACCATCATCATCCACTGGGCCCAGGTGGGATACTCGAGATGTGGCGATCAGTTTGACCAATTCACCGATCTCGCACGAGTCACACACCGTTCTCAGACCATATGGACGTGCATTTTAGCCTGGATGTTCCCTGCATGACTCATTAAACCCCCTTACCAGTGGTAGATCATGACTACCAAGTGGG